GGACAGATGGAATCTGTACATTGTTACAACTGGATGTATTCAGTTTGATAAATCCTTTATTTTCCAGTCTTTTTGCTGATAACAATGACATAAGATACTCAAGAGGGTTACAAGACTTAGTAGTTGTGTGTGCAAACTATACTAAGCCTGGTTAATTTTACATGCAGTCTACCTGTTCATTTATGGTTTATGGATATCAAGAAAATGGGTGTGTTTAATAACCAATTTAACCGTATGTAAATCTAGCTATTATTTCATCAATTCCCATGGCAGTGCCCTTGGAAGAAATACCAGCTCTGATCTTACGCTTAGCAATCAGATGTTGTTTTGTTGTTAGGAAAAGAGGTTTCTATTCTTCCCCTTTTGAATAAGGGAGGAAAAATCATATTTTGATAGCTTTTTAAAGAGACCTATAAGAGCCAATGCTTCTTAAATACTGTATATTATAAAACTATGAGAAATTAAGATTTTCTAAATACAATGGGAAGTAATACGTAGTAGTATTTTTTAGCCAATTTGCATGAATGTAGTTTATTTATATATATTGTATAACACACATACATACATACGTACGTACCCTGGCTAGGTGGCTCAGTGGCTAAGACACTGAGCTTGTCGATCAGAAAGGTCGGCAATTTGAATCCCTAGTATAGGTCTCCTGCGTGAGCAGGGGGTTGGACTAGATGACCTCCAAGGTCCCTTCCAACTCTTACTGTTACATGCAAACATCATACATGCATACATACATACGCTACATACATACACACACACACACACACAATTCATGCAAATTGGCTATAAAGTACTACTGTGTATTACTATGCCACCCATCTCGCCAAGGCGTCTCTAGGTGGTTTACAGTCATTCCATAAAAATACCATATAAAACATTAAAACAATAAACAAAGACCATGAATTTAAAATTTAGTTAAAATTCAGTTGCCCAAGATGGAGAGGAAGGAAGCAAAATGCATAAGTGGAGTAGGTGGGGAACTAACTAATCCATTAACCATCTCTGGGATTTCACTTCCCTATTGTGGCCCTGGGCTAGTTGGCAGAGCCAAGTCTTCAAGGATGTGGCTCTGACCTGGGGGGGGGAGGGGGACAGGATGCTCCAGAGGGCCCACACCATGCCAGAATAGGCTCTCCTGGACCCCCGCCAGCTGGAATTTCTTGATTGACAGGGTCCACTGCATGTCTCTTCTACCAGCACAGGTGGGACAGGCTAATCCCATCAAGTTGAGATGGTTCCTAAGATTCGTGCACATAAGTAAGAGTCCCCTTTTAAAATAATGTTTACTAGTGTATTTTTGTTTACGGCTTTTTGTACAGACCCTCACCCAGGAACCTTGTTGGAAATATATCATTACCAACACAGATATTCCTTATTTGAGAATATTACGCTTGTATTTGTTGTTGTTAGTTGCGAAGTCGCAACCCCGTGGACAACGTTCCTCCAGGCCTTCCTGTCCTCTACCATCCTCTGGAGTCCATTTAAGCTCAGGCCGACTGCTTCAGTGACTCCATCCAGCCACCTCGTTCTCTGTCGTCCCCTTCTTCTTTTGCCCTCAATTGTTCACGATTGTATAAATGGATTCATTTCCCAAACTGGGAGCATCTAAAAAAGACAGAATCTCCTCCCAAATGTATTATAAAGTTCAGCATTGAGATAAACCTGTGGGAAAATAGGATGTGTGACAAGTAAATTCTCAAATAAAGGGGTGGGGGTGTTGCCTGCCCATTGATTGCTCTCTTGCAAATTGATCATTATGGTGAAAAATGCAAGAATGCCAATCTTTTTAATTGCCTGGCTGCTGTCTGATAATGAAGACAAGAGAGAGAACTCTTGTTCCCATTCCCATAGGGCTGTGGAGAGAAGGAGGTGCCTGCCTGCCTGAGACATACACTGTATAGAAATGTAAGGGAATGTGCTCTGTATGGTTTCTATATATTTTGCAAAATGGAGAACTGAAAAAGAACAACTTTTCAATATGCCAGTATTTATTTTTACTTCTGTAGCAGCTGTATAAGGGTGATGAGAATGATTTCCTTGGTTCTATAAAATAAACATTTTAAAACTGATTGTATTTGTCAGATCCAGAATGGGGGTGATGATGATGCATCCATCCTTCTGCTCCTTCATCTTTCGGCAGATTTTGATAATGTTGACCATTCTATCTTTCTGGACCTCCAGCGGGGATTAAAAGCGGGGGATGCTATTGAAGGAGTTAGCCTCTTTCTTTAGGGGTTGTTGATGCGGGAGGGGGAGAGATTGTGCCTCAAGGTGATGTGGCACTAAAGAGCCAGGGTGGGATGGAGTACCTAGAACAGTGATGGCTAACCTTTCTGCCATCACGTGCCCAAAGTGGGGGGAGCAGGGGGGGGTCGGGTGCATGCATGCCCGCACCCATTATTCTATGCGCCCTACCCCCACGCATGTGTGTGTGACACACACACACACACACACACACCCGTGCTTCCCCTGCTTTTGCCATACGATGACACGGTGGGCCCGGTAGGCTCATTTTTCGCCCTCCCTAGGCTCCAGAGCCTTTCTAGGAGCCTGGGAAGGGTGAAAACTGCCTTCCCTACCCCTTCAGAGGCCCTCCAGAGGCCGGAAACGGACTGTTTGCCGACTTCCAGTGGGCCCAGAATGCCCGAAAATCAGCTGACCGGCGTGCGCATGTGCACCAGAGCTGGGCTTGCGTGCCCACCGATATGGGTCTGCGTGCCACCTGTGGCACACGTGCCAGAGGTTCGCCATCACGGACCTAGAACCATGTTCATCTTCTGGCATCTGGTTTTGTACAGGTACAGGCAGGATTATTCCTGTACAGGTAGAACTCGACTTACAATCATTCCTTTAGTCACCGTTCAAAGTTACAGCGGCACAGAAAAAAAGTGACTTATGACCTATTTTCACACTTGTGGCCGTTGCAGCATCCCCATGGTCACATGATCAAATTTTGGGCCCTTGGCGTGTATTAATGACAGTTGCACTATCCTGGGGTCACATGATTCCCCCTTTTGCAACTTTCCAACAAGCAAAGTCATTGGGGAAGCTAGATTCAGTTAATGACTGTGTGATTCATTTAACAACGGCAGTGATTGGCTTAATTGTGGCAAGATCGTGAAAAGAGGTGCAACTCACTTAACCCCTGCCTTGCTTAGCAGTGGAAATCACTTGTGGTCGTAAAGTCAAGGATTACCTGTAAAATGGCTTTAAGCTGCTGGGAGGCTCGCTGCATCTAAGACGAGGGGCAGTGATTCAGAACAAACACGGGTCACAGACACACCTAGGCCTGTTTCCCAAAAGCTCAGGCCTGCCCAGACTGACTGGCTTCTTGAAGCAGGGAACGTGTGAAAGTGGCTCTTGTGGGGAGATTTGGAGGAAAACCTGAACCTGTTCCTGCAGCTCCCGAAACCATATTTTATCTTGTAGCACACTTGAAGCACCCTAACAGGAACCAGCTCTCCCTCACCCATTTAAATTCATTTAGGGGAGGCTTGAGGTGGAGCCCCCTGCAGAGCCTGGCAAGTTTAGCACCGGCTTTTGATTGCTCAAGTCAATAATACTCTGCTTGCCAGACTGGCGTGTGACAGGGAGAGCCAGATGTTGCTGAAAGCAACGGTTTGGCTTGAGAATGTGCAGGTGGCGTCTGTTGCAATATGGATTGTGGAGAATCAGCATCATAGAGCTGTGGTAGTGCAGTGGTTAGAGTGCGGTACTGCAGGCTACTTCTGCTGACTGCTGGCTGCCTGCAATTTGGCAGTTCAAATCTCACCAGGCTCAAGGTTGACTCAGCCTTCCATCCTTCCGAGGTGGGTAAAATGAGGGCCCAGATTGTTGGGGGCCAGAGGCTGACTCTGTAAACCGCTTAGAGAGGGCTGGAAAGCACTGTGAAGCGGTATATAGGTCTAAGTGCTATTGCTATAGTCCTTTGAGCCCACAATTTCGGTTGCTAAGTGAAACATTTGTTAAGTGAATTTTGCCTTATTTTACGACCTTTCTTGCTACAGTTGTTAAATGAGTCCCTACAGTTGTTAAGTGAATCTGACTTCCTCGTTGACTTTGCTTAACAGGAGGCTGCAAAAGATGATTGATCACATGACCCCAGGCGTCTGAATTTTGAACAAGTGACCCTGGGGATGCTGCAAAGGTCATAAGTGTGAAAAATGGTCACAAGTCACTTTTTTCAGTGCCGTTGTAACTTGGAATGGTCACTGAACAAACTGTTGTAAATCGAGGATCACTTGCGTTCAATAGTGAAGGCTTAAACAGAACTGGAGATGGAAACCAAAGATTATTAAGAGAGGAGGAGCTGCTGCCCCTCAAGAATTAAAATTTGAAGTGAGGTGTGCATAGATTTCAGACTCCTTGAATGTGAAAATTACTTTGCGTTTGAAATAGGCTGTTTTGAAGCGTTTCGAACACGAGTTGTGAAGGAGAAAAGGCCGTCTCAAAAAAAGGTGCTTCGTGAAACTATGAAGATTTCCGGTCGCTATTCGGAGGGCTTCAGTTAGAACACTTTGAGGAAGTAATTTTAATTCTGCATGACTCAGAAGCAGATGATTTATATATTGGCAGCCATGGGTTTCTGTTCTCTATTTTGTGCTCCAAAACAGCTTGCAGTAGACTTCTATTTATATTTAGCGAAAGGCAATTTCTGTTGATATCACTGAGACCTTTTCCCAAGGAGATGGGGGGAGAAAAATTAGCGCCCCAATCATCCTTTTAGCAAGTCTGTTGTTGTTGGATTGACTTTAATGGTTTAGCCTCATATCCTCCCATCAAATAGGCTGATTTAATAGCGTGTGGCCTCTGATTATCAGATGTATTATTTACAGTTGGAAGGAAGGCAGTGTCAACCCTTTTTCTGTATTGTTGTCAATAACACTACACATCCATATAGCCAGTTGAGTGCTACCCGAGGGCATTTTTGCTACTTTTAATGTATTATTGATAAGCAGGGGAAATTCATTTCTCTCTTATTTTCACAGGCAACAGCAATGTCCGTAGATTGTCTTGGGCAGCATGCGGTGCTTTCTGGGTGAGTGCTAAAACATTCCGGGTGAAATTGCAGTTACTGTTGGCAACACCTGGACTGGTACCTGATGATAGGTACAGAGGGAAGAAGTAAACCTTGTCTTCACATTTCCATTCACTTCACATTCACTTTGTCTTCTCAGTGAAGTGGAGGGAAAGGAGATTGAAACACAAGCAGTAGTTGACGAAGAGTGATCCAAAATCAGACTCCACGACCCTAATACAGGGGTCCCAACCCTTGGGCCACAGCCCACTTCCAGGCCTTGAGCCATTTGGAACTGGGCCATGGAAGTGGCGGGCGAGCGTGCGCACATTCACATCCACACTTGTGCGAGCAGCAGGCAAGCACACTGTTCTGACCCAGCTCCCCCCAAAACAACAAACCCTCTGTAATTAAATCAATGATTCCTTTATTAGGAGCGCCAGCAGCCCTGGCAAAAAATCTCTCTCACACAGCAGGCTAACAAGTCTGTCCGGCAGGGAGATGAATAGTTGTCTGCAGGGTGGATTTGATTTAAATCGAGTTGATTTAAATCATGATTTAAATCACTAGTAAAAAGGCTTGATTTAAATCAACTCGATTTAAATCATGATTTTTAAAGAGCAACTGTCATCTCTGCTACTCCTTTGACCCGCTGTTGACTCACCGATAGTCCCAGTGTTGCAGAATATATAGCCTCATGCTACATAACTAAGCTCCATTTCATGCTGAATAAACTAAATTATTTATGTATCTTAAATAGAAAACTATCTTACAATAGATTTTTACTCCAAAAGTTTTTTATTAAAATAAATTCGATAAAAATAAAAAAATCCAATTTAAATTAAAAAAATCCAATTTAAATTTAAAAAATCTGATTTTTTTGATTTTTTTTAGAAAAAATCATTGATTTTTATCCACCCTGGTTGTCTGCCATATCTATTCATCTCTGCCCTCTGCCTTTTATCCCCAGAGCCAGGGTGGGGCTTCGTTAGCAGTGATGGCTCTTCTGTCCCAAGGACCGGCCCATAGATTTCCATTGCTCTCCTCTCCTCTGCCTTCTGCGCATCCACGTGTCAGCACTGGACCCAGCTGTTCCTCCTCTTCCTCATCAGCCACCTCCAGACCTGGGGGCTGTTGACTCTCCATCTGAAGGCTGACGGACGGCCCAGGCTCCGCTTCTGTCTCTCTCTCTCTGACAGCTCCATTCCCTCTTCCCCCTCGGAGCTCTCAGATTGCCTTGATGCTGACCCTGTCTCTCATGCCTCCTCCTCTTCCTCCTCTGATTCAGCTGCTTGAGGGCTTGGTTGGCCAACAGGTCACAACACGTGTGCTCCATTTGCACAAGTAGCATGTGTGCGTGCCTGCTGCTCACGCAAATGGAGTTGCATGCACGGTCTTGCCCGCCACTCACACAGAATCCTCCTTTTCCACACACACTCCAGCCAGTCCACAAAGGGAACACTGGGGAACTCTGCCCCAATAGATCAGTGATCTCTTTGCAGGAAAAACCAGAAGGAATCTGGTAGCAGTTTTTCAGACTGACTCATTTAATAAAATAGCTCATAAAGGTTTACGCCTTTGAATGAAATGTGTGAATTTAACTTTGGTATGAAAGTCAAAAGTTGCTATCGTGCTCCTGATTTTTGACTCCCATAGACTAACCTGGTTCTCCTCCTTCAATTTCTAGCAGGAAATATTGCTAGAAATATTTGGCACTAAATATTCCTCATTGTCTGTCATGCTCTGCCTCTGAAGATTTAGCCTTCATGCCAAGTAGGACAAATCGTCCTTGAATTTATGTGACATTTCCTCTACAAATCTTCTGAAGCCATCTCCGTCATTTCTTTATGGGACTTTTGTTTTGTTTTGGGTGAAGAAACACCTGCCCTTCTTTACATGAAACCTGCGCCATCTTCCCATTGAAGATTCCTCAGTTCCTCTCCTTTTGAACAAGCGTGTGAGAGTAGAGTTGCCAATAAACCACAGGCAACCCCTCTTTTTTGTACCCCACAAATTTTGCCACTGACATTTTCCAGCAAAGCCCCTTTTTAACTCCTCCACAGAAGCTTAATAACCTTTTTTTTTTCAGTTAAGACCACCACAAGCTCCCCCCCAATAAGATAGGTTGAGAATTTTTCATCATACCCTGGTTACATCGGTGTATTGCATCGGCACATCACTATACTCCTTGATCTCTTGTCAAATCATTATTAAAAGTCGAAGTGTGGTTCCCGACTGGATAAAAGTTGCTTCCCCCCCCCCAACTCCACGCCCAGGCAATGATGGAGCAAAGATAGAATTCAGACGTACCATTTAGATCCAACATTGAATGGTACTCTGTGAAGGGATAAGATAAGATTTTTTTTCCTAGCTTCTAGCCGAAACCTCTTCTTTTTTGATAAAGGTTGCCTTTGCTCATCGGCTACAGTAATTGTCTACGCTTTGTCCTTCTCATTCTAGGCCTGCTGGCTTTTTAATAGCACTATTAGTGCCCTGCAGGAGATGGCTTGTTATCAGCATGTAAGAGGAAACCGGGTTATTATCAGCCCGCCTAACAAGACCTGCTTTAGATCGCCCACTGAACTTGGGTCTTCCTTCCAGAGTCCTAGCTCTGTGCTGGGTGGCAGCTGTGATTTCACAGATGTGCAAAAAAAAGTTGAAGAAAGTAGCACTGCAGGTAGTCCTCGACTCACAACAGTTCATTTAGTGACCATTCAAAGTTACAACGTCACTGGAAAAAGTGACTTATGACCATCGTAGCGTCTCCAATGTCACGTGCTCAAAATTCAGACGCTTGGCAACGTTCATAGTTGGCAATGTTCATAGTTATGACAGTTGCAGCATCCTGAGGTCACATGATCCCCTTTTGCGACCTTCTGACAAGCAAAGTCAATGGGGAAGCCAGATTCATTCAACGACCGTGTTACTAACCTACCAACTGCACTTAACAACTGTGGCCAGAAAAACCGTAAAATGAGGCAAAACTCACTTAACAAATGTTTCACTTAGCAACAGAAATGTTGGGCTCAATTGTGGTTATAAGTTGAGGACTATCTATATGCAGGTTTTTGCTTTCTTAGGACACTCTTTTTAAATGAGTAGGTTTCTAATCCTCGTAGCTGTACAGATATTTGACAGTCCTGCGCTAGTGATAATGATGATTAAAACGAAGCTATTCAAAATTCTTTCTTTCAAATATACAGCAAAAGCAGAGCAACAGATGCAAAATTTCTTAATTTTTGTCTAGAAACATTGGTTTCTAGAATGGATTCTTAGGAGAGAATTCAAATGTACTTCATGCAGGAACATGCATCAAATTTCCTCATGGCTGACTTTAAACCAGTTCCGGAACATTAATTATTCTTTCGCAGGAGTTTTTTTATACACACACACACACACATATCACACACACATATCACACACACACACACATATATATATCATTGCAACACTTTAATTCAGTAGTAACACTATTTTAAACAATTCAAATATGCCTCTCTCGTAAATACCGCACGTTAAATTCAAATGCAATAATTATTGAGCAACTTTCCCGTGATCAAAAATAGCCCGATAAGCTGTCTCAGAAGCTCAAATCCGGAAGCAACTAAATTGTGGCCTAGATTTGCCAAGTGCAGAAGAGGTGGCGAATCTTTGATCTCTAGTTCTGATGATGATGTGACCGAGTACTCCTCCCTAAACACATTCTTTCTCGTAGGAGAAGAATGCGCCTTGCAAAAGAAAGATTGGCTGAATATTTCTGCCTCGTCTGCTGGATTTTATGAATGAAAGTTGTTTTTTTTTTAATGGAAGAAGACACAATCACTCCTGGGAACGCCACTTGTGATCTGAAAAAGTTATTTCAGAAACTTTCCATAGTCAACTGCTTTTTGCAGGAGCTACGTAAGAAGCTAGATAAATTCTGGTTTATAGTTTCCGTGCAAGACTTCCTGTAATTATAATCCAACATTTGGTGGCACAGAAATGTGCAGCTGAGCCCTATGGCGATCTCTGGCTGGAACAGTACCTGCAGCTGGACCTAAGTAGCCTTACATTTTGGTAGGACGGGTAGTCCTCAACTTACAACCACAATTGAGCCCAGCATGTCTGTTGTTAAGTGAGACATTTGTTAAGTGAGTTTGTCCCACGTTACGATCTTTCTTGCCACGGTTGTTTAAGTGAATCACTGCAATTGATAAATTAGTAATAGTTTTTAAGTGAATCTGGCAACCCCGTTGGCCTTGCTTGTCAGAAGGACGCAAAAGGGGATCACGTAACCCCGGGATACTGCAACCGTCATAAATGTGAACCAGATGCCAAGCGTCTGAATTTTGATCACATGACCACGGGGGGGGTCTACAAAAGTTGTAACTGTGAAAAACAGCCATCAGTCAGTTTTTTCAGTGCCATTGTAACTTTGAATAGTCACTAAATGAACTGTTGTAAGAGGACGACTACCTGTAATCTGAATTTGTGTTCATTCAGCAGCTCAATCGGTTTCATGGTTGGCACATTTGGGGTCAGTTTAGCAGGTAACTCTGCAGTTAGGCAGTTCCAGGGCTTGCTGCATTTAATGGTCGCATATGCAAATCCTTGCTTTAAACAACGGTCTCCAAACTTGGCAACTTTAAGACTTGTGTAGTTGTGGAAGTCCACAAGTCTTAAATTTGCCAAATTTTGAGACCCCGCCTATAAACCATGGGTATCCAACCTTTTGGCTAGCCTGAACCGCCCTGAAAAGGAATTGACTTGGGCCTCATCAAAAATATATAATACCGTTAATGTATATAAATCACATGATAATGTTAAAGGTTTAGAATCTTATGGGGCTACATTACTGGGTGTCAGGCTCAGAATGGGGCAACTCGGGGCAGTTGTCTCACCGTGGGACAACTCGCAGCGGGACAGTTCAAGTATTTAAAATAATTTAAAAGTTATTTTAATTTTTGTCATTCACATTTCATTTTGTCCCTCCTTTTGCATCCTTTCTTTAATGATTCTGTTCCATTATTTCTTCAATATTAATGTAACTCTTTTGTCTATGGAGATTCTCAGTCATCCGGGTCATTGGCCCAAAGGTGCCTTTTTTTCAAGAGGCAACCGGACTTTCTGCGTTTTCTTTGAAGACGTTTTGCTTCTCATCCAAGAAGCTTCTTCCGTTCTGATTGGATGGTGAGGAACGGAAGAAGCTTCTTGGATGAGAAGCGAAACCTCTTCAAAGAAAAACCAGAAAGTCCGGTTGCCTCTTGATAAGCACCTTTGGGACATAGTATAACTCTTGTCCTGCAGCAAGTTGTGTCACAAAGAGTTGTAACACACGCACACACTGCAATATGTGATCATATTTTGGGTGCTTGTGAACCAGCCTGCATTTATAGCTGTTTGTGGAGAAAGGATTTACTTAATGACCACAGGGTTCATTTAATGTCCAAAGTGATTCACTTAACAACCGCCATAAAAAGGCTGTAAAACCAGGCATGGTCATGTAGTGATTCGCTTAACAACCAGCATGACTTACGACCATAATTCCAGTCTCAATTACCTACCTCAGGATAAGAGTTGCCCCTCATGGTAGTAAATCACTGTGGATCTACTGTAGTAACGTTCCTTCCTGTGTTTGTGGGCCTTTTACCAGGCGCCGTTTCCTCTACATTGTGAACCTGGATGCACCGACTGATGGCCACCGCAAGATTTCCCGTCAGAGCAAGTGGGACATTGGGGCCGTGCAGTGGAATCCCCACGAGAGCCACGCACACTTCTTTGCTGCATCGGTAAGCTCTGGGATGGAGGGTGGGAGATGTTCCTTCCCAACATCTGAAGTACCCAAAATCACATTCTCTTGTTCTGCATTTATTCTGTAGAAGCTATCGCATGGATATCTCATCCAAGTTTTGGATATTTGCTTATTTGTATCTCACCTTTATTGTTTTTACAAATAACTCAAGCCGGCAAACATATCCCAACATGTTTTCCTCCTCTTATTTGCCCCATAACAACAATCCTGTTGTCAGCACTTCAAGCTGCATTTACTCTAGTGCTGACATAAGAAGGAGAAGCGGAGGCTTCTGGAAAGGGACGTTTGTCTTTTCACCTACTTATTTTCCCTGGAGATAATATCCCCTAGGAGATGGGATGGGAGGGGGAAAATTCCTTTGAGCTGGAGCAGTAGATTAGAGGTAGAGTGACTTGGAAGATGGCCAATGAGTGCAGAGGAGTGGGGAAAGGAAAGGGAGGTTTTGGGTCAGGAAATCAGTGTTGGCGGCAATGGAGTCAGAGTTAGAATGTCGTGCTTAATAAATGGGAGTTTTTCATCAAAGACTTTGTTTGAAATGCAATTTATTTGAGACGACCTCGAAACCTGACACCTGTGAGGTGTGTTGGGCTGAGAGAATGACTGATTCAAAGTCACCCATCTGGTTTTCGTGCTTAAGGTGGGACTAGAACTCACATTCTCCCAGTTTCTAGCCTGGTGCCTTAACCACTAGACAAAACTGGCTGATATAATCAGAAGAAGCCAGGTAGCACCTGTGAGGAAATTTTCTAACCCAAATATTGGGGAACATATTTCTCTTGGGGATAGGATTCCCCCCTCCCCTCATTTTAAAAGCTATAGGAATGCTCCCATTCTCGAACATTGTTTCTCAACCTTAAGAACTTGCAGATGTGCGACTTCAACTCCCAGAATTCTCCAACCACCCATGCTGGCTGGGGAATCCTGGGAGATGAAGTCCACACATCTTCAAGCTGCCAAACACCGTTTTTGGAAAATGACTCTGTGGTTTTGTTTGTGGCTCCTGATGCTTTCTGTCTTAATTTCAGAGCAACCAACGTGTTGACCTGTATAAGTGGAAGGACGGTAATGGGGAAATCGGCACTTCCTTGCAAGGACACACGCGTGTCATCAGGTATGGCTGCCCCAGGGAGCCCGGTGCATTATGAGCCAGGAATACAGTGGTGTGGTAGCTGTGAGGCCTCCTTTCTATCAGACCTCCTGCTGCTCCTTCTTGTTTGCAAGCTCATCGCTAGAAGAGACATGAAAATATCACAAAGAGTTTAGCTTTATAATCTCTAAACTATAACTCTTGTGTTGTCTTCACTGGAGGCCAGGCTGGGATTTCTCAACCTTGGCCACTTGAAGATCTGTGGACTTCAGCTCCCTAGCAACTTGGCTGCACATCTCCAAGAACTCCCAAAATATCACGATCCACATTTCTGCTTTTCACTGCTCAAGGGCATTGGAGTTGCAGAAGCCGGATTCCATAGGGCAAGCTATTTTGCAGTGTTTTTATTGGGAAAAAAACTCCTGATTATCTCTGAAAAACTTTGCTGAGTTCTCCCAGAAATCGGCCTTGGCTAAACTGTAGGACCAGAATGACCCGATGTAGGAAGCATAGACTGCATAGTTGTTATTGGTTTTTTTAAAAATTGTTATAGTCTCCCATGAAGATTCCGTTGAGGTAGCCCTGTGCGAAAAGAGCAGCCTAGGAAGGGAGAAGCCAAATGGGGCAGGTTTCCAGATTTTCTTGCAAAATACCGGTATGGTTTTTCCTGACAGTGAAGAAGGTGGTGGCAAGTGACTGCACAAAGCCTTATCATTATAAGCTGTCACTGTTGAGCTCTCCTGTTCATCTATGTCAGGGGTGAACCTAGAATGATTGATTGATTGGTTCGATTTATATGCTGCCCTTCTCCGGAGACTCAGGGCGGCTTACAATGCGTTAAGCAATAGCCTTCATACTTTTGTATTTACCTGCTTAGTAGGGCTTTTTTGCCCCCCCCCCAGTGGTGTTCTTTTTTATACAAAGTCAGCTTATTGCCCCCACAATCCGGGTCCTCATTTTATCTACCTCGAAAGGATGGAAGGCTGAGTCAATCTTGAGCCTGGTGAGATTTGAACTTGCAGTAATTGCAGGTAGCTGGTGCTACTTAACAGCACTTTAGTCTGCTGCGCCACCAAGGCTCCTGAAATAATAGAGTTGGAAGGGACCTTCTGTCCCTCTACCTTCTGCAAAGTTCTCTTCTCCTTCTATATAGTGGTATGCCTTTATGACCTGTGGACTTCAACTCCCAGAATCCCTGTGCCAGCCAAGCTCAGGAATTGCCACGGTTGTGCTGGCTCAGGAATTGTGGGAGTTGAAGTCCACGGGCCATAAAGGGCGGCCATACTTACCCACCCCTGATCTCTTTTTCTCTCTCTCTGCCTTTTCTAGTGATTTGGACTGGGCGGTGTTCGAGTCAGATCTACTGGTTACCAGTTCGGTTGACACATACATCTACATCTGGGACATCAAGTAAGAGTTTTGGTGGTCTGTAAGAAGACAGACATGGTCACGAAGTGTTTGTGGGGAGAGTGGAAGTACCTGTAGGGCAGTGGCCCCCAACCTTTTGGGCACCAGGGACCGCTTTTCCATGGACTGGAGGGGGCATGGTTTCGTGTGTTGCCTGCATCCCGTGGATGGGGCTTTGCTTCTTCACGTGGACCAGTTTCTGGCCTGCCATGAACTGGTGTCAGTCCATGGATTGGGGACCCCTGCTGTAGGGGTATTAAAAAACAGTGGCTGCTGTTTTTAAGTGGGGTGCTTCCATAAGACCTAGGGTATTATTAATGTCATCTTCTCCTATTATAGCTTAGCGAGTAGGGTTTGCCTTTGCTATGGTGCAAAGAGGTGTTAAATTTCTACCCAAGTTTTTGTTTTTTGGTGTGTGGTGTATGTGTGTAGTTGAGGTGGAGGAGAAATCTGTGAAATTGAATTACAGGTTGTCCTCAACTTATTACCACAATTAGGACCAGAATTTTCCATTTTTAAGCAACGTGGTTGTTAAGTGAGACGCCCCCAATTCTACTACCTTTTTGTCCCGGTTGTTAAGTCAATCACTGCAGTTGTTAAGTGAATCACAGTCATTCAGCAGATCCAGCTTCCCACATTGACTTTGCTGGTTGGAAAAGTTGCCGATGGCAATCACATGACACCCCCCACCCCCCCAAGATGTTGCAACCCTCTTAAATCCATGCCGGATTTACCAAGCGCCTAAATTTTGATCAGGTGACTTGGGGGAATGCTGCAACAGTTGTTAGTGTGAGTATCAGTTGTGAGTCACATTCCAATACGTGCCATAAACCTTCCTTCAGGGTCCTCATGCCAGCAGTGTCCAGGTGGGCCTCGGCTCACAGCCATTTATTTGTTACACAGCCATTCAAGGTTACACTGAAAGGCCCACCTGGACCTTGCTGGCCTGAGGACCCTTCAGGTTTCCGGCATATTTTGGAATAATGTGATCGCTGGAACCAGTTGTTTCCCAGCAGTTTGCCACAAAGGTTGTCCCATGTCCTGTGGACCAACCAAAGAACCCCAGTTGCCTGCTTAATCTCGGCAGTACATGCCAGAGATTTTCATTTTCCGCACTCGAGGCAAATGGTTTTGCTGTGACTCTGGTGCAGATCAACAGGAAGATGGCTGGTCTCTCAGGAGTAGCTCCTGCAGCTGCATCTGTGTGTGAATCACAGCTTCGGGCCTGCCTCTTTTCAAGCAGGGTCTGCCTTGATCAGTGACTCACGCAGAAATAGCAAGGGTGATCTGTGTAGGTGGGTTTATTTTAATCCAGTGCATATGCTATGAAAGTAACTCCCTCCCCCACCCCGGGTTTTAGAGCAACGTATGCATAGAATTCTAATTAGAGTGGTGCGGTGGCCTAGAGATGGGGATCTCACCTCACATTCAGGAGGCTGTGAGTTCGATCCTAGGTAGAGGCAGATATTTCTCTCTCTGGGCACAATGAGAATATATCTGCTGAATATAACACTGCATTGGCGACAGGAAGGGCATCCGGCCATTAAAACGCTCTGCTAGCTCCATTCAGTTGCCCAGACTCCACCCTGCAAGGGATTATGGGGGTCATTAAATGATGATGTATGCATAGAATTCCAATTATTTGGTTGTAGGCATTTAGGAGAGCGTCGTTAAGCTGTATGTTCTTATGGCAGCTTTGTTGTCTTTCAGAGATACCCGAAAACCTACTGTCTCTCTCTCCGCGGTTGGTAAGTACCGGTGGGTGACAAGCCTGGTTGGAAATATTCACTGCTTGCCTTTCATGGGGCTTCTGCACAGGTCATGGACGTGACTCCCATAGATCGTCATTTGGGTTTTCCTCCCCCGGCACCATGAAACCCCTGTCCGAAATTTTTCCATTGCTGCTCTTTCCTTCACCCAAGTTGTGATTGTTTCATTTACTGCTGCAGTATTGTAATAACAGGACACGGTAATATGGTGAACCAGACAGCCCATAGGGGCAGTTGGTGTCTAAATGCCATTACGGTGCTGGATATGCCAGTCATGAGTGGGTACATAGAGCATAGAATTACAGATTGGAAGGGACCTTGTAGGTCATCTAGTCTAGGGGTCACCAACCTTTCGGACTTCAGGGACCACTAAATTCATAATTTTAAATCCCGCGGACCACTAATATGATCTGCCTAATGACTGGCTGGGTGGGCATGGTTAGGTGGTCATGTGACTGGGTGGGCGTGGCCAACTCAATATCACTCATGTCAAGGGGCGCCTCTACTCGCCCCTCCCTTCCCAGCCACTCCTTGCCTGTCTGCCTGGGCTCCTTACGGCCCCAACAGGAAGCAGTTGTTGGAGCTAAGCAGCCCCCATGAAAAAGAGTTGGCAAAACAGCTGGCTCAGTTCAAATTGGATCTGGCCGAGAAGGAGGCTCAGCAGAAGCACCTCACTGAGGACTAGGAGCATAGGCTTTCTAAGCAGAGGGAAGACCTGCGGGAGTGCAAGGCCGGGTACTGGCACCTGGAGGCTCAGCGGGCTGAGATGGTCAGCCAGTTCCAGGCCATGATGCAGTCCCTCTGGAACGAGGCCCTCCGGCTCTTCACCACCAGTGGCGCTTCCCTCCAGCCTTCACCCAAAGCTCCACACCAGGAGGCTGAAGCAGACCCCGAGTCGGAATTTCTGCCCCCCTCCGACTTCCACAAAAAGACCCCGAAGGGGGAGACTCTCTGCAGCAACACAAACGTTCATTGCATGTATCCGGCCCAGTGACCGTAGTTTGAGGACCCCTGATTTAGTGCAATATTAAAAATGCAAATAATTTTTCTGCGGACCACCAACATTTTCTCACAGACCACCAATGGTCCACGGACCACCAGTTGGTGACCGCTGATCTAGGCCAATCCCCGACCCAAGCAGGAGACCCTACTCCATTTCCGACAGATGGCAGTCCTGTCTCTTCTTGAAAGCTTCCACTGATGAAGCTCCCACAACTTCCGAAGGCAACTTCTGTTCCACTAGTTGGTTGCTCTCAGTGTCATTGTATCATAGGCTGACTGAATTTTAGGGCTAGAAGGGAATTCGGAGGTCTTCTAGTCCAGCCCCTGGTCAAGACCTTATACCATCCTGGTCCAATGGTTGTCCAGTCTGTTTTTGAGAACCTCCAGTGATGGAGCATTCACAAATCCGGAAGGCAAGCTATTCCATTAAGTGTTCTCACTGTTTGAAAATTTCTCCTGATTTCTATGTTCACCTTTTTAACAAGTTTCCACCTCCTACTTCCGCCTATTTGTCCTGCCCTCTGGTGCTTTGGAGAAGTACTTGGAAGTACCTTGTTTCTTATGTAAATTAGCTAGTAGCCCATGGCAGCACCTGGCTTATAAGGCCTCAGGAATGTGGTAGACACACATGCAATTCTAGCTAGAGCAGGGGTCAGCAACCTGCAGCTGTGGAGCCGCATGTGGCTCTTTAACCCCTCTGCTGCAGCACCCTGTCACTCAAAATATGCGTCACAACCATCAGTGTGTGACCTGCGGGCACGCAATTTATTGAGCTTTTCAACCCCCGGTAGGCCAACCATGGATAAATCTAAGAAAAGAAAAGTTTCAGAAGAAAACAGAACGTTGAATTCAACTACATTTGCTAGTTTTGTGGTCGCTCAAGAAATAGTCAGGCACGGGAAGGGTTTTGTGGTTCCCAGTGTTTTCTTTTCTGTGGGAAATGGGTCCAAATGTATCTTTATGAGTGTTTAAGGTTGCAGACCCCTGAGCATGAAGTCCGTTCCATATTCCTGGAGACCAAACTTCCATCATGGCACAAAGGAGGGCAGGACAGTGAGAAGGTTGCTTGAGCTTGGAGCAGCAACATGAGCTGATTCCCCTGCAGTGCTCCATGTCAGGGGTCTCCAACCTTGGCAACTTTAAGACTTGTGGACTTCAACTCCCAGACTTGTGGACTTCAACTCCCAGAGTTAAAGTCCACAAGTCTTAAAGTTGCCAAGGTTGGAGACCCCTGCTCCGTGTTATAACTCTGGGGTCTATTCCTTTCTTGGAAACTTCTCAAGTCTACACTAACCATAATCACCATTTGTGCTAGACAGAGCCCAATACTCCCTTGTGCTTTGAATGAGCCGGAGAGGTTAGCTCTATCGTAGTGACCATGTTTCTTTCTGAAAGGCGCTCGTTGACTCCTAGTCCTCTGCTCTTTCTGCAGCTGGAGCCTCCCAGGTAAAGTGGAATAAGAAAAATGCCAATTGCTTGGCAACCAGCCATGATGGGAATGTGCGCATTTGGGACAAAAGGGTGAGTCCTTGTTCCTTTCCTTTCCCTGCTTCTGTCTAAGGAGTGTGTGTGTGTGAGAGAGAAAAACAGACAGACAGACAGTGGACATTGCAAGCTAGTTAGACTCTTTTGCTCTCTGAAGTCTACTTCACAAGCAATATGTTAGATCCATGGTTTGCCTACGGAGATTCTCAGTCCTCCAGGTCATGGTTGTCCCAAAGGTGCTTTTTCAAGAGGCAACCGGACTTTCTGGTTTTTCTTTGAAGACATTTCACTTCTCATCCAAGAAGGTCCTTCAGTTCTTAATGGATAGAATATAATGATGACCTCAAGGAATATAAATCCTTCCATTGCTCACCATCCAGTCCGAGCTGAAGGACCTTCTTGGATGAGAAGTGAAACGTCTTCAAAGAAAAACCAGAAAGTCCAGTTGCCTCTTGAAAAAAAACACCTTTGGGAGATCCATGGTTTGTGGTAAATAGCAATGATGAATGATGGCTTATGGTTTAGACAAACCACAGTGGCTGGGTTCACACAATACAATTGCCCAAATCAAAGAAATAGCATTAAGATTTAGTGGAAAGAATATGGTAACAGATATGTTCTGAGAGATTCCCTGTGCAGGAAATAACTTGTCCCTTAGGAGGGAAATTTGATCATCCTACCATTGCTGTGAAAATTCTTTAGATTCTTACAGCACAGAAATAACCCAATTATCTTTTTTTTAAAAAATCTTACTTCCTGGATCTTGCCATTGGACCCTGGGCCATAACCTCCACACTGTATCCGCAAGAAATGCGAACATGGGCATTTCCTGTTTTGTGCCTCCAAGTTGTCTTGCAATTCCAGCACCGCCTGCATCTCAGGCTTCTTCCATCTGTTGAAGCGGGAGTTGTGGTCTTGTGTGAATCCAGATGGTGGCACCAGTCAGCATTCATGTGTCTCTTGTAATGCAAGAACATCCCTGATATAAGAGGGTAGGGCTTCAGCTAGAACTAATAAACACGCCATTAAGAAGGATAAATCAGTTCACATTAAGTTTTTCTTTGGAATATCTTCAATTGCTCAATCAGAATAGAGCTGGAAGGGACATTGGAGGTCTTCCAGTCCAACCCTCTGCTCAAGCAGGAGATCTTATACCATTTCGGGCAAGTGGCTGCCCAGTCTCTTCTTAAAAACCACCAGTCATGGAGCACCCACAACTTCTGGTGGCAAGCTGTTCCACTGGTGAATTGTCCTCACTGTTAGGAAGTTTCTCCTTAATTCCAGGTTGCTTCTCTCCTTGATTAGTTTCCATCCATTGGTTCTTGTCCTGCCTTCTGGTGCTTTGGAAAATAAGTTGACTCCCTCTTCTTTATGGCAGCCTCTTAAATACTGGAATCCTGCTATCATGTTATCCCTAGTCCTTCTGTCTAGACTAGCCATACCCAAATTCTGCAACCAGTCTTGTTTTAGACTCCAGCCCCCTGATCATCTTAATTGCTCTTCTCCGCTGGGTCTCTTACCAATGGATTTCTGCTAAGTCACAATTCTGGCACCCAGAAAGGAAAGGGAGGGGAAAGAAGAGTAGGAGAGAGGGTTAGAAAGAGAGGAAGAAGAGAGGAGTGGGGAAAGGAGAGAGGAAGTAGAAAAGGGAAGGAGAGGAGGAATGAGGAAAGTAGAAAGAGATAGAAGAAGGAAGGGAAGGGAAGAAAGAGGAAGAGGAAAGGTTGTGGTAAAATAAAGGAGAGGAAATGGTAAAAGAGCAGTCCCGAATAATTAACAAATGGAAGTAAAACGATAAGATGAATGATTAATGAGAATAAGAGACTGTACATTTAAATATGTTTATGAAAAATAAAAATAAAAAACTTTTTAAAAAAAAGAATTATGGCACCTTTGTTAGTGCACAGCTAAAGCTGGTTGGCTACACAGGAGAAGCCAGGAATTTCAGGCAATTTCCCTTGGACAGGAGAAGCTCTGTGACTGAGTTCCAGATATATCTGATATGCGCTATTTTGTAGCCAATGGCAATTATAGCTTGTAGAAGCGCGTGAGATGTTTTGTTCTCAAAACAGCACTTCGGGCATTCTTCGATAAAGTTTCTGGCAGCTGTGTTTTTCAACATCAGGACAAACTCCTCCCCAGAACAGAGCCCTTTCGAGCACTGATATTCGGAGAGTTCCAGTCATTGGAAGCCATCTCCAAGCAGGCTGTTCCAACCCTGGCTGGGGGATTCTGGGAGTTGAAGTCCACCCATCTTCAAGCTACCAAGGTTGACAAACATTTCTCTATATTAAAAAGAGTTTTGTTTGAGTATTGAAACAGAATCCTCAACATGTTTTGAGTTGTGTTCCAAGAAGATCCATCGGGAATGTTCTGAGGGAACATTTCAGTTTTGCTCTCAGCTCATATTTCTTTTTCCTGCAGATTTCTTGCTTCTAATTCCTGCAGAAACATACCTGCCCCAGTATTCCTTTTCTTTTTCAATTAATGTTTCCCCAAAAATAAGACCCAACAGGAAAATAAGTCCTAGCATGATTTTTCAGGATGCTCGTAATATAAGCCCTACCCCCAAAATAAGCCCCAGTTAAAATTGTCAGCCAGATGGATGTATTTGGTACCGTATTTCCCCAAAAATAAGACCTAACCAGAAAATAAGACCTAATGTGTCTTTTGGAGCAAAAATTAATATAAGACCCGGTCTTATTTTCGGGGAAACACGGTACTGGATGCCAGACATGTTCTGTGTGTAGGGCTTTTCAACTTGAATCCATTGTGATCATTTCCCAACTGTGCTCTGGGGAAGACCAGTAAAAGATACCTGTAGGTTTCTTTGAAAGATTCTTGACTTATTTTCTATCACCGTTCTTCTCCATGACTGAAATCCTCTCTTCAAAGGCCTTGATATGCTTTGTGAGTCTTGCTTTCCATTAACACACGGCAGAGAACAGAACACTGTCCTGTGGCTCCGCACCCCGGAATTTGCCGCCGAAGAGAAGCCAAGATGCTTCTCCTGAAGGCAGCCCGTGACCTGCCAGTGGGATTGCTGTGGCCCCTTCTGGAAACTTTCCAACCCAATCGTTCTCTCTGCTTTCAGAAACCAAGCACCGCTGTAGAGTATCTGGCTGCGCACCTCTCTAAAATCCACGGCCTGGATTGGCACCCAGACAACGAAAATATTTTGGCCACCTCCAGTCAGGACAATTCAGTCAGGGTAAGTTAGGGGACTGGGTTGGCTGGGCTAGGATCTGGCCTTTGCAGGGATATCCTGGCAGAGTGGAAGCCATTGGGTGGGTTGGATACTTGCTTAGGCTGGACAGAAAATCTATGGCACCCCAGCAGTGTCAGTCTCTACTGGCCTTCACTTGTTATGAGGACCACCAGAAAATGAATAAGGAGTGCAGTGAGACTGAATCCTGTTTCCTGACTTGAACAACCGGGGGTGGGTGGGTATCCCTGGTGAATGAGGGGTCTGTTTTCTCTGGATCCCTGCCAGAATTCGTTATTGTGTGTTTCAGCGACACACTTAATGCTGTAGGCAAAAGCATCAGACCATTGCAGCCCAGCGATCTTTATATTTGTCTTATACGTGTATTCATTTATCAGCGTTTAGCTGAGGCTTTTTGTTCCTCTGGGAAGCTCAGCAAATCTTGGAAAGTCCACTAATGCAGTGATAATATTCCTACAAATAAAGATGTCATTGTAATGTTTGCTATCCACTGTAAGTACTCAAATGGTGTGTGGTATTTTTTTAAAAAAAAAAAAAACTCTGCAAGCTGACATGAATAGTTCTCCTGAAAACACAGATCATCCTCAACTGATGACCATTTCATTTAATGATCATTTGCAGTTATGATGGCACTGAAAAAAGTGACAGTGGGTCCTCACATTTAGGATTATTGCAGTGTCCCTGTGATCATGTGATAAAAATATGAGTGCCTGGTAACCAGCATATATTTACAATGATTGCAGTATCCAGGGCAGGGGTAAAATCCAGCAGATTCTGACAGGTTCTGGAGAACCAGTAAATACCACCTCTGGCTGGCCCCAGAGTGGGGTGGGAATGGAGATTTTGCAGTATCCTTCCCCTGCCACGCCTACCAAGCCACGCCCACAGAACCAGTAGAAAAAAATTTGGATTTCACCACTCATCCAGGGTCACATGATCACTGTTTATATCTTCCAGAGAGCTTCCAAGAAACAAAGTCAGTGGGGAAAGCCGGCTTCATTTAACTGTGTGATCTGCTTAATGACCACTGCAAAAAATCGAGTGCAACTCGCTTAAATAACCCTATTGCTTAGCAACAAACATTCCAGTCCCAATTTGGGTCATAAGTCAAAAGACAGCTGGAATTTCTAAGCCACATTGTCATAGCCATGAGAGGAGAAATCATCTACTCATTTTAGGAGTACTGGAGATATGCAGGAAATGATCTCTACAGACAAATATCTGCCAATAGGGGAAAAAATGCTGTTCTTCAGATGAGTAATGGGAGGTTTTGCTCTGTGGAATCCTTTTGATACCCGATCCCGCAAATGGAAAGCCAAAGATTTTCACAAACCTTCAATCCTTCCCTCTCCCCCACAACAGCTGCTGGAATTCTCCCTTCACAAATCTTTTAGGGCCTTTTAATTTGTTTTTAACACGGTGGTGGTTTTCTTCTGTTACGCCGGTTAAGCATCTTTCACTTTAGTGGCCTTTTCTCTCTTTTTTTGAAGTTTTGGGACTACCGACAACCTCGAAAATACCTCAACATTTTGGCCTGTCAAGTTCCGGTCTGGAAAGCCAGATATACGGTAAGGAGAGCTTCAGTGGAGCCCAGCTGAGCTGAAAGAAAGGCTGGCCACGGCAATCACTCCCCCATGGGGCACTGGAGGGGCTGTTGGCAGTGGCCAGGTATGAAGAGAGCAACTACATGAGCCGTGGTGGCGCAGTAGTTAGAACGCAGTACTGCAGGCTACTTCTGCTGCCTGCCGGCTGCCTGCAATTTGGCAGTTTGAATCTCACCAGGCTCAAGGTTGACTCAGCCTTCCATCCTTCCGAGATCGGTAAAATGAGGAGCCAGATTGTTGGGGGCAAGAGGCTGGCTCTGTAAACTGCTTAGAGAGGGCTGCAAAGCACTGCGAAGATGTATATGAGTCTAAGGACTATTGCTATCTTCCTTCCTTCCTTCCCTCCCTCCCTCCCTCCCTCCATCCCTCCCTCCTTCCCATCCATCCATCCATCCATCCTTTGCAATGGTCAGAATGTAGCATTGCAGGCTGACTACCCAATGCCAGGAGTTCAATTCTCGCCAGGCTCAAGGTTGACTCATCCTTCCCTCCTTCCGAGGTGGGTAAAATGAGGACCAAGATTGTTGGGGGCAAGAGGCTGACTCTGTAAACCGCTTAGAGAGGGCTGTGAAGCACTGTGAAGCGGTATACAAGTCTAAGCGCTATAGCTACATGTTTTTTGGCCAGGAGCCACTTATGCTGTGGGGGAGGTGGCAGTTACATGGTGACTTCACTGGAAGGGAAGGGGTGAAGGTTTGGGCCCCATCTGTTTTACTTTTGAGGTGTTTGATGGAGCGGAAGGAAAATTTCAAAAAACAAAATAAGTTTTTTGAGGCTGTTAGCAGCATAGTCCACTTCCTTTATTTTTTTTTTTATTTTTTTTTTTAAAAAAATGTTTTTTTCCCCCAAAATTATTTGCAGTTGCCTTTTGTTGGCTTACACTAAATTTTGGTAGTGTGATCTGGGGCATGTTCTGGGAGCTGCGAAAAGTGATCCGTGGACCCAGATGGTCCCAATTGCCCACCCTTTGCTTGGAGGAGGGATGGCAGCTCACAGTAGATCACCCACATATACACAACCCTTCCCATACCCAACACCGGAGGTTCATTCTCCTGGCAAGGTTGGGAAAGACACAGTTTGTGGCCCGAAACCTGTTGTCAGTTGACGTAACTCCAACTCCTGTGTTTAACTGCAATTCCTGTCATCCTTGGTTGCCCTGGAGAAGAAAGTTGCAGTCCAGATCTGGGAGATACTACGTTGAAGGCTTGCACAAATGGTGACAAGCTACACAAACTGAAAAAATGGATGGGCCCGGTGGCCGCTTCCACTATTCCTTGGCTGGGATAAGCTGGGCAGGGGAAGCCTTAAATATAATTTATTTTATTTTATTTATTTCCAATTTATATACCGCCCTTCTCCCTAAGGACTCAGGGCTGTGTACAGCCAGAGTTAAAAACATGCAATATAAATATTAAAAAACAATTAAAAATATATGTAAATTTGGCCCAAAAATTAAAAATCCCAAAACCAATTAAAACATTTAAAAATTTCTTCTTAAGCCAGCCCGGCTTGCTGGAAAAAGTGGGTTTTAAGGGCACGACGGAAGGCACTGAGGTCTTGGATTCTCCTTATCTCTGGGGGCAGCTGATTCCAGAGGGTGGGAGCCCCCACAGAGAAGGCCCTCCCCCTGGGGGTCACCAGTCTACATTGATTGGCTGATGGCACCCCGAGGAGGCCCTCTCTGTGTGGGAGCGCACGGGTCGATGGGAGGCGTCGGTAGCAGCAGGCGGTCTCGGAGATAGCTAGGCCCTATGCCATGGAGCGCTTTAAAGGTGATGACCAACACCTTGAAGTGCACCCGGAAGACCACTGGGAGCCAGTGCAGCTCGCGCAGGAGCGGTGTTGTCTTCTGGATCATGTCTCTTGTTTGTGTTCCTATGAGCAAGAAAGGTCCGCAAGAGGTACATCATGGTGGTATGAGATGCCCACTGATGTGGCCTCTAGCGTTGCTTACTATTATACTCACCGTAATTCCACACATGTTTTTGCCTTAAACTTCATAATCTTCAATCTCTGCCTGCTGACCAAAGGTAGAATTGCAAGCTCATGGGCGCCACTGATAGGATGCTTGAAGGAGGCTCCCAGCTACCGAGAAGCAGATTGAGGATGCGAAGGAAAAAATTGTGGAGGAAACCCATAGCTTGCTTTAATTACTGCCCACTTGCTGTGAGAGGTTAGAAAGCTTGTAAACACACTGTCAGCCTCATGATGCCTGCTTGCTTTCGGCTGCCATTGTAATGGGAGGAGGGAGGTATTGCAGGTATTTGGGGGTGGGGTGGAGAAGTGAGCTGGTGGAGATGTCTCGGAAAAGGGAGGAAAATTCTCACTGTCTTCATAGCAGCTGCAGAGAGAGCTGATAGCTGTCAAGGTCAACCGTCCCGGCATATCAGATAGATGGGACCATTTTTTATTTTTTTTAAATTTGATTTATATGCCGCCCTTCTCCGGAGACTCAGGGCGGCTTACAGTGCATTAAGCAATAACCTTCATACTTTTGTATATTTTATACAAAGTCAGCTTATTGCCCCCACAAACTGGGTCCTCAATTTACCTACCTTAGAAAGGATGGAAGGCTGAGTCAACCTTGAGCCTGGCGAGATTCGAACTTACTTTAATTGCAGACAGCTGGTGTTAAATTACAGTGCTTAGTCTGCAGAGCTATCCAGGCTCTTGAAGAAGTACCCTACATGACACCTTGGGGAGATGTGGATTGGACACTCAACCTGGGTCCTTGCGGGGAGGGATTTAGGGATGCTTTCAATATGTAATTTTCGTGCGAATTGCCTCAGACTTTGCTTTTCTTTCACTGCATTCAGTTCATACTCAGCAAAAGTACCTTTTTCTACCAAAATGGAGTCGAGGGTTTTCTTTCTTGAGTTTTGAACGGAGGCAAGCCTGACACACTGTCCTGCAGGATCCCAATCTGGGTCGGTCACCGAGACCAGAGGTTTTGTCTTCCGAGCTTTTGGACTCGTGCTGGAGCCCATCCTCAGGGGACTTCTCTGCATGCTTTGTGCTGTTTTGTTTGTGGTACAGCACAAAGGACACACGGAAGTTCTCTGAGGATGGGTTCCAGCACGAGTCTGAAAACCCGGAAGACAAAACCTCAAATTGGATCCTGCAACATTATCCTGGGACACGGATACACACTACACACTATTCTGCCCAGCAGTCCTGTACAGCTGTAGACCTCCTTGAAAAGCGAAGCGGAAGTGAGCCACTAACCTCCCTTCTTTCCCCTTTCTAGCCTTTTAGCAACGGGCTGGTAACAGTGATGGTGCCCCAGCTTCGAAGAGAGAACAGCCTCCTTCTTTGGGATGTCTGCGATCTCAACACGCCGGTTCACACCTTTGTGGGACATGATGATGTTGTGCTAGAATTCCAGTGGAGGAAACAGAAGGAAGGTGTGTGATTGGGGACTGGGGTGGCCATTCTCTTTCCTTTTTATTGGAGCAGTGGACTCATCTGAACAGATTCCCACTAGATATATATTTTCTGAGGTTTTCGCGGGTATTTGTATGTAGGTCTTTGGTTATTCGGGTTTTCTCCCGCGTAAAACTTCGTCGAAACATTGCCAAGACACTTCCAATTTTACGTGGGAGAAAACCCGAATAACCAAAGACCTACATATATATATATATATGTATATATCCATATTGTTTTTATTCAATGTCACCCATGCCACTTAAGTTAGTTAGCAAAGAAAGTCTCCTGGCCCAGGGGTGAAATTCAGCCGGTTCTCTCCGCCTCGGGCAAACTGGTAGTGGCAGCTGCGGGAGGCTCCACCCACAAGCGCGGATATCATGACGTCACTTTTTTGCGACAATTTTAAGCCTGCGCATGCGCAGACAACGGTGCGAGTGAGCAAAGCGTGCGGGGCGCACGCACATTTGCGAACCGGTAGGGAAGGTAAGTGAATTTCACCCCTGCTCCTGGCCCATTGCTTTCCATTGTTTTTACTGAAAACAAAAGTGGTTACAGAAGTAAGCAAAGCCGATATCTGCCAGTTTGATGTGCAAAGGATACAATTATCTTTCCCTTTCTCCCCTGACCACCCCCTGTTATCAGTCAATATCCAATTAAAAATTCTCGTGTTGTTTAGGGAACGGACCCTCAGTTCGCACCTTCTCCCATTTCCGCATTCTTTTTCTGGATTGGTGTGTTTCACTTTTTAGGCCGGCACAGCTTAGCCCCCAACCTCCCCCCCCCCATTGTCCTCCTGCATTCTAATCTCTCTCCCCCCTCCCCCTCCCCAAAATTGCTGTTGTCAGGCTGGCCAGATGCGATGCGAAGCTAGCAGAATGGCAGCCATGACATTAAAACTCAAGGTAGCGCACATACCTAACAGTCCTTCATAGCCTCCTTTTGGACCTCCAGGTTTCTTCTTATCTGTCAATGTCTTTCTGCCAATGATGTTCAGGACGGTACACAGGACTTGTGGTGCTGAGTAATGGCTGAAGTAGAGCTCAAGTCAGAGTAGAAAGCACAAGCCCAAAGAACCGGATCCTTCAGTTCGGCATTGCCTGATTCACGTGGCATTTGTGGTTGGTTGGATCCATCTGTAATGGCCTGAAGGAGTAAGGAGCCGCAGACTGATGCTAGGATGACAAAATGCATCATCATGATTGAAAATGAATATGTACAGCTTTTCTCTTGTGTACCATTTCTCAGGTTTGTGTCTATAGAAATTCTAAGTCATCCAGGTCATGGTTGTCCCAAAAGAGGTAACTGGACTTTCTGGTTTTTCTTTGAATACATTTCGCTTCTCATCCAAGAAGCTTCTTCAGTTCTGACTGGAAGGCGGAGAATGGAAGGATTTATGCTCCTTGCAGACAGCTGGTCATTTGCATGCTTTGAGAGAGTCGTTGAGGCCGCTTGGAGGTTTGTCTCTGTCCTCAGAGTCACCTGAGTGGTGCAAATGGGTGTGGAGCCTTCTTGGAACTGTTGAAAGGACAGTGTTATGTAGCTGTACTTTCTGCAGAAAGCACATATACATTCTTCCATTTCCCACCATCCAGTCAGAGCTGAAGAAGATTTTTGGATAAGAAGCGAAACACCTTCAAAGAAAAACAAGAAAGTCCAGTTGCCTCTTCAAAAAAACACCTTTGGGAGTTTTCTCGGGTTTAGTTCTGCTTTATACTGGGAAACCCTTCCATTTGACAAAAATAAAATGAGAATGTAATACATCCTTTACTAGTTAGAATGGTTAGAGTGGCATTTGGGCAACCCAGATTTGTTTCCACTTAACCCAAGAAAACATAAGGATGTCCTTTGGTGCTGTGGTGGTGCAGTGGTTAGAATGCAGCATTGCAAGCTAATTTTGCTGACTGCCAGCAGTTCGATCCTGACCGGTTCAAGGTTGACTCGGCCTTCCAGCCTTCTGAGATCAGTAAAATGAGGACCCAGATTGTTGGGGGCGATAGGCTGACTCTGTAAACCACTTAGAGAGGAGTGTAAAGCACTGTGAAGTGGTATGTGCTATGGCTATTGTCCTTCCTTCCTTCTTTTCTTCCTTCCATCCACCCATCATTAACAGTGGTTAGAATGCAGTATTGCAGGCTGACTCTGCCCACTGCCAGCAGTTCTATCCTGACCGGCTCAAGATTGACTCAGCCTTCCATCCTTCCGAAGTTGGTAAAATGAGGACCCAGATTGTTGGGGGAAGAGGCTGACTTTGTAAACCATTTAGAGAGGGCTGCAAAGCACTGTGAAGCAGTATATAAGCTTAAGTGCTATTGCTATTGGGCCAACCCTTTTCTCTCAGAATTTTGTGGCAGATTGAGAGGCCCTTCCTGTGTGCTTTGCTCCAAGGCTAAAAGGTGGAAGATCTGTGCAATATTATATACGCAAATATATTGCTGACTCTTTCCTGGTTCATTTTCTATCGATTCTGACTTTCTCCTGCCTTTGCATTCAAAAACAAGGCCTAAGTAGCGTATGACAGGCATTTCCTCTCTTCCTTTATAAGGGTCAAAGGACTATCAGCTGGTCACCTGGTCTCGAGATCAGACCCTTCGGATGTGGCGAGTGGATTGTCAGCTACAGCGGGTAAGTCCTAAGCATTCAGAATTCTTTCCTGGCCCCGGCTTGAAAATGTAAGAGCTCTGTCCATGCAACTGCCTGGGCTGCTCTCTCCCACTGTAGGTCTGACAGGTTACTTCTCCTATGTTGTTGTTAGTTGCGAAGTCATGTCCAATCCATTGCAACCCTATGGACAATGTTCCTCCAGGCCTTCCTGTCCTCTACCATCCCCCGAAGTCCATTTAAGCTCACACCAACTGCTTCAGTGACTCCATCCAGCCACCTCCTTCTCTGCTGTCCCCTTCTTCTTCTTTTGCCCTCAATCTTTCCCAGCATTAGGCTCTTCTCCAGGGAGTCTTTCCTTCTCATTAGGTGGCCAAAGGATTTGAGTTTCCTCTTCAAGATCTGGCCTTCTCAAGAGCAGTCAGGGTTGATCTCCTCTAGGACTGACCGGTTGGATCGCCTTGCAATCCAAGGGACTCGCAGGAGTCTTCTCCAGCACCAGAGTTCAAAGGCCTCAATTCTTCGGCGCTCAGCCTTTCTTATGGTCCAACTTTCACAGCCATACATTGCAACTGGGAAAACCATAGCCGTGGCTATACACACTTTTGTTGGCAGGATGATGTCTTTGCTTTTTAGTATGCAGCCTAGATTTGCTGTAGCTTTCCTCCCCAGGAGCAAGCGTCTTTTAATTTCTTGGCTGCAGTCCCCATCTGCGGTGATCTTGGAGCCCAGGGGTTTCCTAGATATTTCCGTAAATGTGTTTTCCCTGCAGTTGATTTATGGCAGATTCAGGGTCAGAAGTCAAGTAACTGGGGAAGGTAATCTGGGTCAAACCTTTGCAGTGGAAGAAAATGAAAGGAAGGCACCTGTGGAAGATTGCTGTATAGCAGGGGTGTCAAACTCAAGGCCCACAGGCCGGATTTGGCCTGTAGGGTGCTTGGATGTGGCCCGCGAGCTCACCTTGGGAACAGTGGAGGACTGGCCTGTGGTGCCTCTGCCAGCAAAAACAGAGCTTGGGAGGGCCACATATGGGCCTCCCAGGTTCCATTTTTGGCTGCAACGGCCTCCTGCAGCCGTCTGCGGCCCTCCCAGGCTCCGTTTTCACTGGCAGACGGCTGCAGGAGGCCATCGCGGCCAAAAATGGAGCCTTGCTGAGTGACAACGGGCTGGCCACACCCACCCTGGCTACGCCACGCCCCCCCCCATCCCACGAGGTCAACCACAACCCTGATGCAGCCCTCAATGAAATCGAGTTTGACCCCCCTGCTGCATAGTGTTTTTGGACAAACGTCCTTATCATCCTCTGTAGTGTGTTGGCTTTGTGTCCTGGTCACAGCGAGGAGGACAAATGATGGCAAAACGTGGCGTGACGGTTTTGGGAATGTTAGATAGGGAACCGCATCTTAACCTGAAAGACAGGCGAATAAGGAAGGAGAAGGTGAACAAAAGGAACCTTTAATATCTCCAGACCAGTTTTGTGATGTTGCAGAGCAATTAATCAGCTGACAAAGAGGTCGATGCCGTTTCATCTCAGTAGAGCAAGTAGGTAGAGGCAGCCATGAAGATGACCTTGGGGAAAATATTCAGAGGCTGTTGGACAGAAGCATGGCTGGGAAAGGAGGTGGGAACAGATTGAGCTGCATCCTCCTTATTTATTTATTTGTTCAACTTGTATGCCGCCTTTCTCTAAAGACTCAAGGTGGCTTACAATGCATTTAAAAACCATATATAAAACATGAAAAATTAAACCATTAAAAACAATTAAAACCCATTCACACCATTCATGGCCGGATCTCGCCAGATCGCAGCAGCAAGATCAACGGCCCCAGGCCTGCCGGAAGAGCCAGGTCTTCACCGTTTTCCGGAAGGCCAATAGGGTGGGGATGGTCCGGACCTCAGGAGGTAACTGGTTCCAGAGAGCCGGGGCAGCCACAGAGAAGGCCCTCCCCTGCGGGCCCGCCAGCCGGCATTGTTTAGCTGACGGGACCCGGAGGAGACCAACTCTGTGGGATCTTACCGGTTGTTGGGAGCTATGCGGTAGAAGGCGGTCTCCTTGACTCAGTGGGGAACATCAAGAGGGGAGGAAAACATAAGTAGGCTTGCCAAGATCCTGAGCCTGTCTCAGAACATAGTTCTAGTCTTCTTGTAAAGTCTTTTTCCTGTTCCGGACCGACTCAAAGGGGTGAGAGTACAGGGAGTCCTCGACTTTCGACCACAATTGGGCCCAAAATTTCTGTTGCTAAGCGAGACATTTGTGAAGTGAGTTTTGCCCCCATTTCTTTTCATAGTTAAGTGAATCACTGCCCTCGTTAAATTAGCAACACAATTGTCAGAAGGTCGCGAAAGGGGATCGCGCGACCCTGGGACTCGGCAACCGTCATAAATACGAGTCAGTTGGCCAAGCATCCTGAATTTAGATCACAGGACCCTGGGGATGCTGCAACAGCTGTTAAGTGTGAAAAAGGGGTCATAAAGACACTTTTTCGGTGCTATTGTAACTTCAAACCATCACTAAACAAACTCTACCGTAAGCCACAGGCTCTGATTTTCCTTCCAGACTCCTTAGCTGGGGCATGCCTCATTCACTCGCATGGTGTTGGCTTACCTTTGGCTTCGCTTGGCTGCCTTACAAGCTACCTTCACTGCCTCTTATTCCAGTTATGCTCCAGCGACCTCTTGGAGGGAGTGGAGGAGCTGATTGATGGGATTTCCCTCCTGCCAGAGGCAGACAAGGCCCTGCCAGTCCAAGAGACGGAGCCTCAGCAGAACTTCACCCACGGAGAGGAGGAAAGTGAGTCCTGGTATCTGGGGGGGTGGCGTGAGCGGGTGGTGGTGGCAAATGATCAATTCATTTTAGGGTGGGGTGGGAAATTGGAATAGAATGGAATGGAATGGACAGAACGGAACGGAATGGAACGGAATAGAATAGAATAGGGAATGGAAGAGAAGAGAGGAGAGGAGAGGAGAGGAGAGGAGAAAATGGAATGGAATGGAATGGAATGGAATAGAATAGGGAAGGGAAGGGAAGGGAAGGGAGAATGGAATGGAATGGAATGGAATGGAATGGAATGGAATGGAATGGAATGGAAGAGAATGGAAGAGAAGAGAAGAGAGAATGGAATGGAATAGGGTAGGGAAGGGAAGGGAAGGGAAGGGAAGGGAAGGGAAGGGAAGGGAAGGGAAGGGAAGGGAATGGAATGGAAGAGAATGGAAGAATGGAAGAGAAGAGAAGAGAGAATGGAATGGAATAGAGTAGGGTAGGGTAGGGTAGGGTAGGGAAGGGAAGGGAATGGAATGGAATGGAATGGAATGGAATGGAATAGAAAATGGAATGGAAGAGAAGAGAAAAGAAGAGAAGAGAAGAGAAGAGAAAGAATGGAATGGAATGGAAGAGAAAAGAGAAGAGAAGAGAGAATGGAATGGAATGGAATAGAATAGAATAGAATTTTTATTGGCCAAGTGTGATTGGACACACAAGGAATTTGTCTTGGTGCATATGCTCTCAGTGTACATAAAATAAAAAAACACATTCATCAAGAATCATAAGGTACAACACTTAATGATAGTCATAGGCTACAAATAAGCAATCAGGAAACAATATCAATATAAATCTTAAGGATACCAGCAACAAGGTTACAGTCATGCAGTCATAAGTGGGAGGAGATGGGTGATGGGAACGATGAGAAGATTAATAGTAGTGCAGATTTAGTAACTTGTTTGACAGTGTTGTGGGAATTAGTTGTTTAGCAGAGTGATGGAGTTTGGGAAAAAACTGTCCTTGTGTCTAGTTGTTCTGGTGTGCAGTGCTCTATAGCGTCGTTTTGAGGGTAGGAGTTGAAACCGTTTATGTCCAGGATGCGAGGGGTCTGTAAATATTTTCCCAGCCCTCTTTTTGACTCTTGCAGCATACAGGTCCTCAATGGAAGGCAGGTTGGTAGCCATGGTTTTTTCTGCAGAATCTTTGGACTCCACATGTGTATTTAAAAAAAAAAAAAAAGATGGAACTTTGATCGTACCATCGCTGCCCAAGACAAAAATGTATTTATTTATGTATGAGATTTTGTAATCTAGTCTTTATTATTTTTAAAAAAATAACTCAAGGCTACAGACATACCTGATTCTCCCTCCCTCCCTCTTGTTTTCCCCTCAACAACAACCCTGTGAGGTGGGTTGAGCTGAGAGAGTGACTGATCCAAAGTCATCCAGCTGGCTTGCATGCCTAAGGCAGGACTGGAACTCCCAGTCTCCTGGTGATTGGCCCAAAGTCACCCAGCCAGTTTTCATGCCTAAGAAGGCACTAGAACTCACCGTCTCCTGGTCTCTAGTCCAGCGCCTTAACCACTATCCCAGAGTGGCTGTCTTGTAAAAGACACGTTCAAATTATGCTTGACTCCTGGATATGCCCAAGTGATTTTTATGGCAGTAGGTTGTCAACATGGCTTATTGTTGCTAACTTTCACAGTTGTTGTTCTTAACTTCCTGGGTTAGCCCATTAAATTCTCCGATAATTCCCTGGCAACATTATGAATGGAATGGAATGGAAAATATGGAATGGAATAGAATGGAAAATATGGAATGGAATAGAATAGAATAATGGAATGTAGAGTAGAGTAGAGTATAGAGTAGAGTAGAGTAGAGTAGAACAGAACAGAACAGAACAGAACAGAACAGAAAATAGAATAGAATAGAATAGAATAGAGATTGGAATAAATAGAGAATAGAACAGAACAGAACAGAACAACTTTATTGTCACTTTGAATGTACACTAATCGGCATACATTAAAATGAAATTTCATTGCACACAGCTCTCAATATACACTATATGAACATGACTAAATAAATAAATATGCATATGCCCATCTATATTATATGACACAGAGAAACAATTAGAGTCTAGTTTAGATGTGTACATGTCCATGGCAAGAAAAACGAATCTTGCGAGTTTACCAGACGGATGGCTGGCTTAGGGGACAAAGCTGTTCCAGAATCTGGCAGTCCTGCTACTTTGAAACCTCTTTCCAGAGGGGGACAACAGAAACCGACCATGAAGTGGGTGTGTGGGGTCTCTAACAATGCTTTGAGCTCTAAGCACACAGTGTTTAGGAGCAGCATCCTGAATGACAGGAAACGAGCTTCTAACTTCGTCCAGCCCTGCTTAGCAAAGTCAGCCTGGTGCTACGACCTGTAAGCCTAATATGACGATGCTAAGATTCCTTCACAGTTTAGGAAGGAGCCAGTCCCGTTTACCTGGAATGTTTCTTTTTCCTCTGCCGTATTTTGCAGAGCCTGGGCCTGCTCCCCAAACAATCCATTTCCCTTTCTCCCCAATGTTTATGCCGCCTTCTATGCCCAAAGCTCTCCTGCCCTTTCCAAAGATTCTCGTCCCTCTTTTACAGTTTTTAAAGAAGATTCCCAGAAAAGCTTTCTGGTAGGAAAGAAGCTGGACCAGCTGGGGCTGCCTCAAACCTTACAACAGGAGTTCTCTCTGATCAACGTGCAAATCCGCAACGTAAATATGGAGGTGAGAAAAACAAACTTTTATCTGGTTACTGGATAGAACACAAGATTTTGGAATTGCCTATTAATTCCTGGGGATGCAGTGGCTCAGTGGTTAAGACGCTGAGCTTGTCGATCGAAAGGTCGGCAGTTCAGCGGTTCGAATCCCTAGTGCTGCGTAACAGGGTGAGCTCCCCTTCTTTGTCCCAGCTTCTGCCAACCTAGCAGTTCAAAAGCAGGTAAAAAAAAATGCAAGTAGAAAAATAGGGACCAACTTTGGCGGGAAGGTAACAGCGTTCCGTGCGCCTTTGGTGTTTAGCCATGCCGGCCACATAACTACGGAGACGTCTTCAGACAGCACTGGCTCTTCGGCTTTGAAACGGAGATCAGCACCGCCCCCTAGAGTCGGGAACGACTAGCACATACATACGAGGAGAACCTTTACCGTTACCTATTAATTCCTGGAGATCGTTCACCTTTGTCCTTATCGTCCCTGTTTTTCTTTCATTGTGTCTGTCCTCCAGCCACCCTCCATACTAGGGACGTGCAAAACATGTTCTGATTGGCAGCATTGGTTGCCTGTTCGTAGCCTGAGGGATACATGCTGTCCTTGGTGCTGCCTGAGCTTGGTGTTTTTCCTTACAGACGTTTCATTACCCATCTAGGGAACAAAATCAACACTTGAAGAGAGTGGGGTTTACTTTCTGTTTATATGCAACTGACTCATCCTGTGTCGGTGTCTGTGGGAGTGTTCTTGGTGGTTCTTTGATTAGGCTCTGGCTTACTGTTTGTTTGTCTGAGTTGGGCCTTCCTTCATTGGGGGTATTGTTTACTTCTTGATTGTTGGTTTAATATTAATCTTGGTGTTACTCTCCAAGATAAACAGAGGGAAAAGCCCACTCCCTTCTAGCACTGAAGATGTTACCAGGTTGGGTAAAGAAAAGTCTGCAAACGAACCACCAGACTGCGAGAACGTCAAGGGCTCCACAGTTCAACCCTGAGCAATAAATATTCTCTTTTATCGAGGCATACGTGCTTCCACTGTGCATGGATCTGGAGGACGCTTTTTAGTCCTTGAGCTGTATATGTCTTCTGCAGGGGCTTTCTGTGGTAGAAATCAGTAGGGCAAAGCACAGGTGGCTCTTTGGGTTGGCACATGGCAGCAGGGACCCAGACTTGCCATAAGTGCCCCCTGAGACTTCTCTGGATTTCCCTTGGCCAGAACCTGGATCAACCCAAACAATTTGGGTTGCACTTCAGCTCATCCAGGGCCTGTCCAGAATACAGGCAGTCCTCGACCTACGGCCACAACTGACTTCATCCTTCCAGATAATGTCTCATTTCCTTAACTTCGTGTATGTTGTGGCTCCGTTAGTCACAACATACACGATGAGCCTGTGTCATCGGCAGGAGAGGACTCCGAGAGTGAAGGAGAGGAGTTGGCAAGGCCTTCCTCTCCAGGACCCTCCTCTCTGGCAATGCCTTCGGTGTCCGCCGAAGGTCAAGAGATAGGCCCGGGGCCAAGCACGTCCACACAGCCACAGATGGACAGTGATGAGGGAAATGAGTCTTGGCTGGATCCTCGGCAGCGTCGCAGAGATAAGCGCGCGCAACAGAAGAAAAGGCGTGCCAGAGATTAGGCTGAGTCACTGGACCACACCCCACCGGGTATAAAAGGGGGTGAGGTGGCCATTCAGACTCTGTGACGGACAAAACTAACTACTATCGAGTCACATTGCATCTTTGGAAACAACATTATCTGCCTTGGATTTAATTACGGACTGGACTTGACAATTCTTGAACTGTGTGTATTTTGTTTATGAGTAAAGTCTTGGCAAGCAGCTACTGGGTTGCTGCCAATCCTCTTATCGAAAGAATTGGTTGTCTGCCAGTTTATTTAACCCCCTGCTGTCTGTTTGTGTGTGTGTGTGTGTGAGATGGGGACAGACAGTGTGTGATCAGTTTGCCCTGCCAGGGACACCTTTGCTCTCCTTTTCTAGCCACCAATCCTTGTAGGGAAATGCCAGCAGAAGGCAGTGTGGACCCAACGTTAGCCTCTCCTAACATTTCTTTCTTGCTTGGCTCTGGCAGATGGACGCCGTCAATCGGAACTGCACGGTCTCTGTGCACTGCAGCAACCACAGGGTGAAGATGTTGGTGATGTTCCCGGCACAGTATCCTAACAACGCCGCCCCCTCCTTCCAGTTTGTCAACCAGACCACGATCCCTTCTACCATGAAGGCCAAGTTGTTGAAGGTAGGTCTGTGCCTAAGCAGCTTTCCTTGAGAGAAGGTTGTTAGCAAGAGCTGGGGGTGGGGGGTGGGAGGCATATGCCAGGGGTAAGGGCCTTATTTTAAAAGCCGTGGTGGCGCAGTGGTTAGAGTGCAGTATTGCAAGCTAATTCTGCCCTCTGCCAGCAGTTCAGCAGTTCGAGTCTCACTGGTTCAAGGTTGGCTCAGCCTTCCGTCCTTCCGAGGCAGGTAAAATGAGGACCCAGATTGTTGGGGGCAATATGCAGGCTCTATAAACCGCTTAGAGAGGACTGTGAAGCAGTATATAAGTCTAAGGGCTATTGCTATTGTCAACAAGCATGTGGTTTGTCTGCCTAGCCATTTTATGGCCCCCAGGCCACATCGGGGTCCCTGTCCAGCCAAATGGATGGCTTTCATTTTGAAGATACCACTAATTTTTTTTTTCAATTTACATATATGTACATGCACAGCTATGCATCTTCACACTTTGGTTCGGCCTTTCACAACAGTCCCAGTTTCTCATCTGTCTGTCTGTCTGTCTGTCTGTCTGCCTATTGATTGATTGTTGAATGAATAAACGAATGAATGAATGAATGAATGAATGAATGAATGAATGAATTTATATGCTGTCCATCTTGTGATGAATGACTCTGAATGACTCCACAACAGTCCCAGTTTTTGCCTGCCTGCCTATCTATCATCTATCTATATCCATCCATCCATCCATCCATCCATCCATCCATCCATCCATCCATCCATCCATTGTATCTAATTTATATGCTGCCCATCTTTTAGTGAACACCTCTGGGCAACTTCCATCATTAAAACATTAAAATCTTAACAAACATATTTAAAAGGATAAAAATTGAAATCCCAGTCAAAATAAAATATAGTTAAAAGATCGGTTGGGAGGGAACAGGAAGTGGGGGGGCGGAGATGGGATTGCCTCTTTATTCAACAACCATCTCCAATGTGATTCTCCCCACTAGAGCCCCAGGCCATCCAGCAGAGCCAGGTTTTCAGGCTACTGCAGGAGGACAGAAGGATATGAGCTAATCCCTTTGCTTGAGCAAGGGGCTGGACTAGAAGATCTCCAAGGTCCCTTCCTATTCTATTCTATTCTATTCTATTCTATTCTATTCTATTCTATTCTATTCTAATTTTCTATTCATCTCAGGGGGCAAGGTGTTCCAAAGGGCAGGAGCCACAGCAGAGAAGGCCCTTCTCCTGAACCCACCAGCCAGAGTTCCTTGACCGATGGGGCCCGCAGCAGGCCTCCTCATGTGGCCCTTTGGGGAAATTAATTGCCCACCCGTGACAGTTCCACAGCTTTGAATTATGGTGTGCAGACTCGGGAAAAACAACTTAGCCCACATCTGGGATCTCTTTCAGATCTTGAAGGACACTTCCATGCAGAAAGTGAAGCGCAATCAGTGCTGCCTGGAGCCATGTCTACGCCAGCTGGTCTCCTGCCTGGAGTCTGTTGTGGTAGGAAGTGTTTGCCCCAAAAGTGCTCTGCCCATATCAATCAAGTGGAAAGCATTAATGACGTTGTGGTTCTTAAAAGGGCAGGGAAGGTTCTGGACAGGCTTTCTAGGTAGGGGAGTCCTCAATTTATGACTGGTTGCTTAGTGACTGTTTAAAGCAGGGGCATCCACTCTTGGCCACTTTAAGACTTTAACACCTGTGGACCTCAGCTCCCAGATTTCTCCACCCTCCAAAAAGTATTTATAACTAAATTTCAAAGTGATGATCCATGCACACTCGCAATGTGAGCTGCTTGTCCATCCTGCTGCCTCTTTTTTCCAGCCCACAGTTTTGTCACAGAGTGGGACAAAACAAAAAACTCCTGATCAGAGTTGAAGACTCTTTTTTCTGGTAGAAGGAACATTAAAATTCTTCTGCTGCTCAAGTGAAACGGACGTCAGGCAATTTGTTTCGTAAAAGAGTTGCATTTCTCTCTTTTTTTTAACCCCCTGAAGGCCTGCATAACAAAATTGCTTAAGCTTGTCTGGGCTTATATCTTTGGCAGGAGTAGGAAACATTTTCTGGTACCCAAAATAAATGGGTTAAGCCTCACAAAGGCTTGGCACTCTTGTCTTAAACTTTAAATGGTTATTGGAGCGGGTGAGAAGTACCACTCCATCACACCACATGACATCATAATTATTTATTTGTATCCTGGTTTTATTATTTTTACAAATAACTCAAGGTGGCAAACATACCCAACGTGCCTTTCTCCACCTATTTTCCCCACAACGAAAACTCTTTGAGAAATGGGTGTGGCCAAGAGAGAGACGGACTGGCCCAAAGTCAGCCAGCTGGCTTTCATGGCTAAGGCGGGACTAGAACTCCTGATTTCTAGGCTGATCCCTTAACCACTAGATCAAACCGACTCTCAAATGTTGTGTCTGGATTGTGGAGCTTTGCAGAGATGGCGAAGATTTCAGCATATCTAAAAGATCGCTCACAAGAGACTTATGAATGGGAGTGGAAAAAGTGGATAGATTATGTGCAAAATAAATATCAAACTAGGAAATATCAGATAGCTTTTAACTGAAAGTATTATATAAAGATAGAAATATTTGAATTTTGTGAAGATGTAAAAAATATACAGGGGGTGGAGGGGTTCAAGTTTTATAAAAAGGGGATTTTGATTTGGATTATATTCTGTGGAAGTCCGGGGGGGAGGGGTGGGTTAGGGGGTGTTAGGGAGGGTTGGGGGGGGGAAACTGGGGAGAAAATGTAATTGTAAAACTTTTTCAATAAAAAAAAAAAAAGGTTGCTGTTAAGTGGGGGGAAAGACCCCCTGAGTGTCTTAATTCCATGTCATTTCAGAACCAGGAAGACAGCTCCTCCACTGATCCCTATGCGCTCCCGAATTCCGTAACGCCGGCTTTGCCAACCTTTCCGAGGGTCTCCAATGCCTACGGCTCCTATCAGGATTCCAATATTCCCTTTCCTCGAACCTCTGGAGCGAGGTTCTGTGGGGCAGGTGAGTTGAATCTTAGCTCTAGGAAGATAGAAAAGAGAAGGACAGTGGCCGGAAGTCCTGTCTCAACTTTTCTATCAGAAAGAGGGAGCTGTCCGTTGCTGGGTTGTTACAGCTTCTCTACAACCAGCGATTGTTCTAATGCAGGGGGTCAAACTCACGGCCGGCAGGCCGAATGCATCATGTGGTGGCCTCGCCCCTGCCCGGTTTAATGAAGGGGGAAAAAGTCCTGATACGTCACGTGAGGACACGAGTTTGACACCCTGCTCTAATGCTACAAGTTCAGAAATCCAGAAATTTGCCTTCTTCCACAAAATAAAACATTCCTGAGTCAGCCTGAATTCTGATTACTGCATCCTGTAGTTTCTTTGGCAGTATTACAGAAATAGCAATAGCACTTAGACTTATATACCGCTTCATAGTGCTTTTAGAGCCCTCTCTAAGCAGTTTACAGAGTCAGCCCAACAATCTGGATCCTCATTTTACCCACCTTGGAAGGCTGGAAGGCTGAGGGAGGAAAGGAAGGAAGGGAGGGCAATAGCAATAGCACTTATATACTGCTTCACAGTGCTTTGCAGCCCTCTCTAAGCAGTTTACAGAGTCAGCCTATCGCCCCCAACAATCTGGGTCCTCATTTGACCCACCTCGGAAGGACAGAAGGCTGAGTCAACCTTGAGCCGGTGAGCCTGGAACTGCTGGCAGTCAGCAGAGTTAGCCTGCAGTACTGCATTCTAACTACTGCGCCACCAATGTTTGACCAGCACCATTTTCTGGAATATTCTTCCTCCTCCTCTCCCCCCACTTTGGAAGATCCCCCTTGTAAAAGGATTTATGACCCAGTTTCAAGTTCCAACATTGCCCCCCCCCCCATGGTCACATGATCATATTCTGGGCACTCGGCCACTGTCCCTAATTGTAGTGTCCTACAGACAAATGACTGTGATTTACGATGGTTTTGCTGGAAACCGAGAGATCTGGCAAAAACCAACACACAGCAAACAATGGGTTTGTTGCGTTAGCATAGCAACCTCCACAAAAAAACATCATAAACCTTAGCTCCAACCTACTTTACAGTGGTCCTGACCTATGACCATAATTGCCAGGCACAATTACTGTTGTAAATCAAGAACTACCTTTACTGTTGATGAACAAACCTGGTTCCTTTAAAATAGTAAATGAATCATACATTTCTGAAATTTGTGCATGGAATAATGGCTGTTGGGTCTCTCTTTCCATTCAAGGCAAACTTTTTCAGTGTAGGTTTCTCTTGATTCTTTCAGGGTACCTGGTATACTTCACCAGACCAATGACGATGCACCGTACGGCCTCACCTACTGAACCAACACCGCGGTAAGCATCAAGTATTGGCAGACAGCAGCCTTCACAGACCTTCCCAGCTGTAAGAAGACAGAACTAACTTCAGTGGAAGAGTCTGGTTGCATCTTTTCCAACCCACCAATTTAATTAAAAGGCATGAGCGTTTGTGAGCTGCAGCTCATAAAAGCTTAGGCTTTTTAATTAAATTGGTTCATTAGGGGGGAAAAAAATGCGACCGGATTTGCAACCCTAACTCTTGTCAAAATTTTCTCTGGCAATGTATGAAATCCAGACCCTTTTTATTGCGTGTGTAGTCATAAGCTTTTGCATGGAACGAGATAAAATAGCTAAGTTCAAACTTCAACCCATTAATAACAACTTGCCTCCAGAACTTGTGAATGCTCCAACACTGGAAGTTTTTAAGAAGAGATTGGATAACCATTTGTCTGAAATGGGATAGGGTTTCCTGCCTAAGCAGGGGGTTGGACTAGAAGACCTCCAAGGTCCCTTCCAATTCTGTTCTGTTCTGTTCTGTTCTGTTCTGTTCTGTTCTGTTCTATTCTATTCTATTCTATTCTATTCTATTCTATTCTATTCTATTCAACACAAAAAGGGACTGCCCTTCACAATCAGTTGCCATGGCCTTCAAACAATTGGTGCATAACTGTTGTTGCAAAAGCAGCCATGCATTGGGAAATTTGACACAGCAGTGGAAAACCACCCTGTTCTTACCAGAAATACCCTAAGGAATTTTTCTTCCCTTTGTAAAGAATATCTTCCTGCACCAAAGACTATTCAAACCATGAAATGGGGACAGCTAGTCCTCAACTTACAACCGATCACTTAGCAACTGTTAGAAGGTACAACAGACCTCCCAAGGGCTTCTCATGACTCAGGTTTGAATTTTTGATGACCAGTCTTCCCTCCTCCCCCCCCCCCCTTTGCCCCCCCCCTATGATTGCATTTTGGGCACTTTTTTTTTTTAATTTGATTTATATGCCGCCCTTCTCGGGAGACGCAGGGCGGCTTACAATGCGTTAAACAATAGCCTTCATACTTTTGTATATTTATACAAAGTCAGCTTATTGCCCCCACAAACCGGGTCCTCATTTTACCTACCTTAGAAAGGATGGAAGGCTGAGTCAACCTTGAGCCTGGCGAGATTTGAACTTGCAGTAATTGCAGGCAGCAGATGTAAGTGGATGTTAATTAGTCTGCTGAGCCACCAGAGCTCCACTTGGCAAGCAACCCACAAATTTAGGGCCGTTTGCAGCGTCCAGTGTTCACAAGACCATGATTGGCCAGCAATTACTGTGATGCCAATAAAAAAAAGTTGTGAAATCAGTCATGTACTAATCCATTTAGCAAGTAGCATAACTTAGGACCATAATTCTGGGCTCAGTTACGGTTGTAAGTCAAGGACTACCTGTCATGCACAAGTCTTCGCCATTTGAATAGCCACAAAAGAGAACAGGGCTGATGTCTTTAATGGCATAATATCTTCAGGCCATCACAGCTGTTGGCCTAGTTGGAATAGAATAGAATAAGCTGGAAGGGACCTTGGAGGTCTTGTAGTCCAACCATGGAAGTCCCAAAGGTGCTTTTTCAGGAGGCAACTGCATTTTCTTGCTTTTTCTTTGAAGACGTTTTGCTTCTCATCCAAGAAGCTTCTTCAGACTCTGACTGAATGGTGGGGAATGGAAGGATTGATATTCCTTGCAGACAGCTGGTCATTTGCATCCTTTTAGAGGGTCCTTGAAGGACTTGGAGGTTTATCTGTGTCCTCGGGGTCACCTGAGTAGTGCTCCTGGTTCCTGTAGTCTGCAATTTTTCCCTCTGGAAATCCTTCCATTCCCCACCCTCCAGTCAGAGCTGAAGAAGCTTCTTGGATGAGAAGCGAAACATCTTCAAAAAAAACCAAGAAAGTCCAGTTGCCTCCTGAAAAAGCACCTTTGGGGCAACCATGACCTGGAGGACTGAGAATCTCTACAGACTTATACCATGGATGCCGACTGTAATGCCATGAAGGATCTCAACATGGGGAAGGCTGAAATACTCCATCAAGGAAAGATACTCTGGGTGGATATTCATATCTGCAGCATTCTGTGCATTCAGGATAGTTCAAACCTTTTTTTCTGCAAAGGAGGGTGCATCTGACTGAAGAATGACCAGTACTTCTTCCCTTCTATTCAGATCCTTGTCAGCCCTGTCGGCCTACCACAGTGGCCTCATCACGCCCATGAAGATCCGTACAGAGAACCCTGGCAACCTGCGGTTGTACGGTGGGAGTCCCACGCGTAGTGAAAAGGAGCAGGTCTCCATCAGTTCCTTCTACTACAAGGAGAGGGTAAGCCCACAGCCGATGGATACTCCTTGCCCGATACTCCGGCTGGTTCAGCAAAGCCTATTGGAATCCCTTACTCTTCTAGCAGCTCTTGAGGAGTGGCCAGGGGCTTCCCCTGTGATCCTGAAGGATTCTACTTCAATAAGCTGGATTGGTCAGACAGACAGCAGGCTGCTACAGGTAGTCCTCGACTTACAACAGTTCGCTTAGTGAGCGTTCAAAGTTACAACGGCACTGAAAAAAAGTGGCTCACGACCGTTTTTTGAACCATTGCAGCATCCCCAAGGTCACGTGATCAAAATTCAAACAACTGGCAACTGGCTCACATTTATGACAGATGCACGATGCCCAGGGCCAGGTGATTTCCCCTTTGGTGACTTTCTGATGAACAAAGTCAATGGGGAAGCCAGATTCAGTTAATGACCGTGTGACCAACTGAACAACTGTCGTGATTCACTTAACAACTGTGGCAACAAAGGTCGTAAAAAAGCTCGCTTAATAAATGTCTCACTTAACAACAGAAATGTTGGGCTCCATTGTGGTTGTAAGTCGAGGACCACCTGTAGTTCTCGTTGAAGTGCTAATTCAGTGCAGTGGCGCTTCCTTATTGGGGTCCAGTTGTTAGGTTTTTATTTGCTAGGAAAATTCCATTGTGTGGAGGTCTTGTCCGTGTTTTTCCAGGGTGGGCAGTGCCCGCACTTCTATAGTGATCCCTGTCAACTATGGATTTTGTGGGTGTTGGTCAGGAGGATATACACACACACCTGGCAGGTTTCTCAGCATTGGTCCTGCTGGATCCTAATGGCTGGAGAATGCCCTCCATTTTGGATTGCAGGCACTTCAGACCGTCTCAGTTGCAAAGTCTGAAACACCTTTCTTGAATAGGTAGAAAATTGCACCTTTTGACTTCTTAGACTGAACAGCTCCATTTACTGTCATTATTGTTTAGGTGTCCCTAGACAGTTATTTAGGGCAAACATTCAGAGAAAATTACCTGAAGGTCATTTGTGCAGCAAAGATTCCAGCAATAGCTAGGAAGTTATAGCCACATTGTCTTAGGAGCTGCAGGACCCTCCTTTAACAGGACTCTTTGTGATAGGACAGAGAGAAGGTCACCTCTCGTGGCCGGAAAAAAACCCGGCCTTGAAGCTGAATGTTTATGGAGATTTGCAATCATCCAGGTTATGGTGCTTTTTCCAAAAGGCAACTGGACTTCCTTGTTTTTTGTTTTTTTTTTAATATTTTGCTTCTCATCCAAGACGTTTTTCAATTCTAACCAACTGGTGGGGAATGGAAGTTAGTTAGAACTGAAGAAGCTTCTTGGATGAGAAGTGACATGTTTTCAGGGAAGAGAAAAACCCCAAAGAAAATCCAATTGTGTCATGTCTGTCCCAGCTTGGGCGTTTAGGAAAGAAAGACCCTCGACTCCATTTGTGGCAAAAGGTATATTTTATACTAAAGCCAAGTGGTCACAGCATAAGCAAAGCCGGATCTGAATATTCCCGCGTAAACCCAGTGCTTCTCCCTTTTCCCAGGCCCTTCTCCCTTTGGTCATCTTGTGAATATGTAACGATATTCAAACAAGGTGTTTTGGTAACCGTTTTAAAGTTTGTCTCCTCTTTGGTGGGTGTTTGTATTGTTCCCATGCCTGTGTCCTTGGGTCTTTCAACCATTGTCTCTGGTTGGCACATCTGGTTCCCGACGTCTCTGCTCCCTGTATCCCCCCCCCATTCCCCCTCAGAGCCATCAAAGTGAAGCAGGCCTGGAGCGGTTACGATGGCAGATCTGACAAGTTGCCTTTTAGGGAGAAAAAGCACCTTTGGGACACCTTGAAGCTGAGCTGTCCTAAGACAAATGAGGTCAAAAAGGGAAATTTGCAGAAATTTCTTTAGAGTTCTGATTTGGAGTTTGCTTCAGTTCAGGGGTGGAGAACTATGGGCCTTTTTATGGCTTGTGGGCTTCAACTCACAAGGAGCCTGTATAGCTCAACAGACAGAAGCACTGTTATTAAGACCAGCTGCCTGCAATTACTGCAGGTTCGAATCTCGCCAGGCTCAAGGTTGACTCAGCCTTCCATCCTTTCTAAGGTAGGTAAATTGAGGACCCAGTTTGTGGGGGCAATAAGCTGACTTTGTATAAATATACAACTTTGTATAAATATACAACGCACTGTAAGCTGCCCTGAGTCTCCGGAGAAGGGCGGAATATAAATCAAATTAAAACAAAAACAAAAAAACTCGCAGAATTCATGGCTGGCTGAGGAATTCTGGGAGTTGAAGTCCACAAGTCACGAAAGGGCCATAATTCCCTACCTCTGCTTTAGCTGATAATGCAAGGGCATGTTGAAGACATGGAAGGCATTGCTGAAAGCTGGCAGCTAAAGAGCAACAGCTTTGGCCAGATGCCATCTTCTGCAAGAGAAATGTCTCGGGGGGCGGAGTGGGGGGGTAGTAGTATTTGAGACAATTTTCTATACTCCTGTAATCACTGTAGTGTGTTGAGCATCTGCTGAATGCTGAAGGAAACCTTCAGCTCTACATTCAGCCCTTGACTTCAGCCCTGGCACCTCGGCTGCCACTCAGAAAGGCCACCTTGTGCCCAAGGGGTGTCATCTTACCTACTTAGCTTAAAGTGGTATTCTGTTGACAAGCCCCTGTGCCTTACCCAAGGCTGGTCTGGGTTGCACGAGGCCTTCGTTCTTGAAGCGGCTTGGGAGAATACTCCACCATGGCCTCCACAGCCTCCCAAAACTGTATAAAAGCACACCTGTTCTCAAAGGATGTTTGGATGCTCTGGAGGAATGCAAAGGTGCATCCTCTTCTCACGTGGCCTCCGCAGCCTCCAAAAATCATGCAAAAGCAGAGTCTGTTCTCACACTTATTTTCAGGGGGCCCAGAGGCCATGTGAGCACAATGGATCTCTTGCACAACTGCACAAAACCAGGATGAGGATAGTGGTAGAGTGTCTGGTGAACATAGGTGTGTCTCCCAAAACATTGTGGTATGTCAGCTTTGATACACAGGTCATAGGTTCGAAATGACTACCCCAGGCAGCCATAAAATGTAGAGAATGGCAGGAGCTGAGGATCACCTGCAGTTCTACCCATATGATCCTAAGAGCCAAGGTAGCGCAGTGGTTAGAGTGCAGTACTGCAAGCTACTTCAGCTGACTGCTAGCTGAAGTTCGAATCTCACCAGACTCAAGGTTGACCTCAGCCTTCCCTCCTTCCGAGGTTGGTAAAATGAGGAGCCAGATTATTGGGGGCAAGAGGCTAACTCTAAACCGCTTAGAGAGGGCTGTAAAAAGCACTATGAAGCGGTATATAAATTTAAGTGCTATTGCTGTAAGATCTTCAGTTAACGAGTTTACTCCTAATGCAAACTTGCTCATTTACCACTTGAAGAGGTGTGAACTTCCAATTCTCATCATTCGGTGGGTTGGTTGACACCTCTTCAAGTTGCCAAGGTTGAGAAACACTGGCCTAATCTGTAAATCAGGGGGAGATCTGTCAAAAATGGTGTAGGGTCTGGTGGGCGGGGGGTTGGACTAGATGATGTACAGGGTCCCTTCCAACTCTGTTAATCTGTATCTGTATCTGAACTCCATTTAGGCATGGAAAGGAAGATAGTAGCTCATCCTTTAATTTATTTATCTATCTATCTAATCATTGCTTCTGTTGCCTGAAGTCAATAAAATGGTCTGGAAAGATAACTTTCTTTGCTTCTGACTGTATCTGCCTTCTAAGATGGCTTGGCTGGGAACACAAAGCACTGGAACCTGGGGGGGGGGGAGGGGGGGCTCCATCCTGAGCTGAGTTGTGGCCCAGCGGGCAAATTCAGAGCCACAGTGATTAGCGAGCAGGACTACTAACTCCGAACTCCGTTGAGAACGAACCCTGTGCATGTTTTTCTTAACTCTGTGGAAGCAGCTCCGAACGGCCCGTCATTAAGTTCTGAATTCCTTGGTCCGACTAAAAAGCAATGCAAGGAGGTCACAGATGAACTTGCAGGAAAAGGGGGGTTTAATCTTAGCAGCTCCTCTTTCTCAAATTCCCTGCAAAGGGAAAACTAAGCCACCCAAAACAGATGCCCTCCAAACAGTTGGGTGGATTGCAGTTCCCTCCTTTCCATCCATCGGTAGGTCTAGTCCTGGGACAATGGACCATCAAAGGGTGCCTTTTTGGGGGGGTCAACCCTGTCCGTTTTTGCTTCCTTGAAAAGGAACAGCAGCGGGGGGAATGTCTCCAGCCGGGTCATGCTTTACTTCTCTGCAGCTTTGGGGCCTCCCAAGTCCTTTAAAAACCAGAGTTTCTCAGCTGCATGTTCTTTTCTTCCTTTCTCTTGTTTTCTCCACGGCTCTCCTCCTCCTTCCCTTCTTCCGGGCGTAACATTCTCATGCACAGATGTCTCCTTGCTCTGCCAGACGGCGTTGGTCCATACAAGCGATTAACGACTTCCCGGTACTGTGTGCTGTGTTCCTGCCGCCCTTGGCTAACTGTCTGCTCCTCCTCACAGGCCCAAGAATAACCCGCCACTTGGTTGGCTTTGTATAACCTGGGATTGAAGTACAGGGCAGAAGCTCGGCTTGGCTTGGCTTGGCTTGGAGCTGGATGGGCTGGAAAACCATATTTTCCTAGCTATCCAGGAGCCTGGATAGCTCTGCAGACTAAGCACTGTAATTTAACACCAGCTGTCTGCAATTAAAGTAAGTTCGAATCTCGCCAGGCTCAAGGTTGACTCAGCCTTCCATCCTTTCTAAGGTAGGTAAATTGAGGACCCAGTTTGTGGGGGCAATAAGCTGACTTTGTATAAATATACAAAAGTATGAAGGCTGTTGCTTAACGCACTGTAAGCCGCCCTGAGTCTCCGGAGAAGGGCGGCATATAAATCAATTTTTTAAAAAAAATAAATAATTGCGTAATTCTGGACTTGGATAGGAAGGCGAGTCTTCTAAGGCTCTGTTTCTCAACCTCAACAACTGTGAGATATACCATATGGACTTCA